AGCGGGGCTCCAACTGCCCCTGGCCTCGGCGGGCAGCGGGAGCGGCCTGGACGGCGGGCGCGTTGCGCGGATCCGCGGTCACTCACCGCCCCCCGCCTTCTCCGCCTTTCCCCCGCTGTCCTGACAGCCGGGGAAGGAGAAACGCGGCAGAGCCGATCGGCATCGAGAAATGCCTGGGAAAGCTTGGCGCTCTGGTTCCGGCTGTGTGCTGGTGTTTTGGGAGCGGTTTTCTGGGCAGGCCCCGCGCCCCTGAGCGCTGTTTGTTCCCTGGGCAGGTCTCGGTGCTGTATTTCGCCAGGAGCGCGGAGCTGGCGGGGCTGCGCTCTGAGACCCTCTCGGTGCCACGGGAGATCACCTCTCTGCAGCTCTGGGAGGAGATCGTCAAGGTCCACCCCAGGTATGCAGCAAGTTACCCTTGAGGTGCACAAAGAAACGTGGTTGGATTTTTTTATTATTATTATTATTATTTTTAATACAAATTTGGTGTTCAGCATTGCTCTGGAGCGCTCAGCAGTACTTCGACAGCACAAAAACAGTGGTGTTACGTTCTTTTGGTAACCTGCACCAAGTGTTCTGTGTTTTGTGCAGCTGGAAGTGTTGTAGATTCATGTATACTACGGGAAGACCAGGGTGCGGGAGATGTATCCAAAACTGGACCTGAGAGGTACACGTGGCCCATTGTCCAGGAGGCCTGTGATGTGGTAGCTTGAAAACTACCACATTAATAGTCTGTGGAGAAGGTGAGATGTTACAAGGATGGATCAAGCACAGCCAGGACAATAAATAAGAAATAAATGATAATATGCAGGTGTTTCCAATTGCTTAGGTTAGACATTAGGATGAAGTTCTTCATTGAAAGGATGCATCAACATTAGAATGGGCTGCCCAGGGAGGTGGTGAAGTCACTGTCCTTGAAGGTTTTTAAAGAAAGATTGGACTTTGTGCCATGGTCTTGTTGGTATCATGGTGTTCAGTCATAGGTTGAACTTGATGATCTTAGAGTACTTTTCAAACTTAATTGATTCTGTGATTAACTGTACTGTAAGCCATTGGTATGAACCTATGAAACTCTACAAGGCAGGTCAGGAAGAGAACTGAAGCTCCCCACAGGCTTCCAGACACTCAGCCCTCACACACCAAATGTGTTCAGCCACTTTAATGCTCTGAAAAAGACGCACACTGCTGCTGGTTGCATTTTGTAAGGATTCTGGTCCTGAGAAAGCACTGTGTGTGCTGTAAGGGCCTCTGCAGCATTGGTGCTCCTGGGGGTGCTAACAGAAATGTCCCCTCTGTTTAAAGCTGAGAGAAGGTGCTCAGTCCTGTCAAGAACAAATGTGATGGACAAAGACGCAACATTTTGGAGTGATAGAAGGGGTAAAAAAAGAGTAAGGTTGCAAGAGAGGTTGTAGTCTTCAGCATTAGTGCTCAGTACTCTGGAATTTCTGTAACTTTGGATTCAGGGGTCCAAGTCTTCCTTTAGGCACAACCTTTCTTTAGTAAAATACTCTCAAATAACTATGAAAAAAATGACCTATTTAACACTAGTATCTGTTTTCAAGTGAGACACTATTCACGAAATGCTGGACTAGGCACCTTTTGCTCACAGAGAATTGAAATAAAGTGTGTTTGGGTGCAACAGGCAGTAGGGAATTGTGTAAATTTTACTTTGCAGCCTTTTTGTCTATGTCAGAAGCAGCAGCAGCACTGTTGGTCATTTTGCCATAATTTGTCAACTTTGTCCTTTTATGAATGATGACTTGGGGCAGTACAATTTGCATTTGCAGTTACTTCACAGCGGCCTTCTTGAAAAATGCTTCTGTTCCTAGCTTTTCTGGAAAAACTCAATATAATTGTAGGGTATTGACCACAGATTTCTATTCACATTGCTAACGGATATTCAAATTGCAGCTTGAGCGTACTTGACAGTGCTTTTCTGTTCCATGCATTTTCCCCAACTAATTAGCTTGCAAGGGACTTTAATTAGAGCCCATCCTTCTAATGGGCACTTCAGTTCCATGGTTGTGCACAGTTCTTTAGTGGCTTTCTTTGCTTTCATACCATCCTTCCCTTCAGTCTGTTCTCTGAATCAGTGCTACTGTTTTGCTTAGCCTGTGCCTTGACTACTTTCATCTATCTATGTGGCTGGTAGGAGACAAGATGATTTTTACTTGTACTCTGTTGGTCTGCTTACTTGTTTCTAGGCAATACAGCTGAGCTGGCTGTGCCAGGTTTTGTAGTCTCAAACAAGAACTGTTATCATGCCTTCACCATCTGTAGAAAAATGCCATTCTTTTTTTCTGCTGTCTTACTGCTATAGCCCTCATGCTTGCTATGTAATTGCACTTAGTCATGGAGATGATTTCCTGCCTCATGATATCCAGAGCTATGAACTCTCATGGCAATATCTCACATAAAAAAAATATGTAGAAGATCCACCAGAAGACAAATCACATTTGCTGTCTTACTTCTTTGGCCACTCCTTATCAATGGTAGATTTCAGACCTGTTAGGACAAAAGACCTAAAGCCTACTAAAGTATGAGCACACACAACAAGAGCAACTCTGACCACTGACTTTTCATGAGATCTCATGAACAGCATGCCACAATGCTACTTTTTGTGTAAGAAAATTGGTCTAGTCAAATCATACTGCATCAAGACAGTATTTCCTTCTAATCCCAAACTGGATGATTGCTATCTCTTGAGTTAACAACTTTTTCATTGTAAGCTTCTGAGGTGGGTCTGGTATGCATTGGTTTGTTCTGATATAGGCCTATGAAAAATCTAAATCTTGATTTCTGAAAATTATACTGATCTTGTTTCTTCTTGGCTGCTACAAGAAAATCCAAGATTAGGAGGTTGGTGTTGGTTGTATTTCTGACAGTGTCTTGGAAGCAAAGTTGTGTAAGTCTCAGTGTTTTTACCTCAGCTGCCCTAGACTGTGGACCAGTTTGCTGTTCAGTGAAATCTCATGGTTAAATGCAAACATTGTTTGGAAACCTATTTGTGCTTTTGCCAATCCCCCTCAGGCTTGCTGTCATCCGGGATCAAGTGGTATTTGCTGTTCGGCAGGAGTACGTGCTTCTTGGAGATCAGCTGCTGGTCCTGCAGCCTGGAGACGAGGTTGCCATCATCCCACCAATTAGTGGAGGCTGAACCTGCCCTGGTTCTATTAGGTAGGTATCACTTACTGCCTGGTTTCCTGTGGAGTGTAACTCTATGCTAAAATAGCTCATGAATTCTATGTGATGTTACAAGAACCTTTTCTTGTTTAGGTCCGAAGATGTGATTGCAATTCTCTCCTGCCACCCCAGTACTCATTTGAGAGAGCCCAACTTGTGTTTCTGTCTGGAGAGTGCAGTTGTGCTGAGCAGAAACTATATGCCAGTGCACCAGTAAATGATTAACATGTATGCAGTAAATGGAGGACACTTGCCAGAGAGGTCAGGCGTTGCTTTGAATCTGGGTGTTAGGTCCTGTTACTCTTTCCAGGTTATTTCTTCCTACCAGTGGAAACTTGGCTTGCCTAAATACAATAATGAAAAACATCCTGCCACTTTTTAACAGAAAAGATAATATAATAAAAATAATTGACTGCTGCTTAGAAATTTTGTTTGTTTGTTACTTTTAAAAAGGTGTCCTTAGAATAGCTTCATTTCTTTGCCTGCTTTCAAGTGCCTGTCCGTCTATTTATTGCAGTTTGTTCCATTGCTGCTGATCAAAATATTTCTCATTCTTAGGTGATCTGATGACTGGTGATGACTGGTTTCTACTCAGAAAAGTTAAAAGTGTCCCTTGTGTGTCTGTAACAGACTGGTAGTATGAAGTCCTGAATGTCCTGGAGAGCATACTCAATTTTAGGATTAGAACTCTAATCCATGTTTATCAGAAATCCCTGTTTTAAACTGTAGGTTTTGATGAGATAAGTAGGAGGGACTGACAATATCAGCACAGATTTACCAGTGGTCTGTGCTGGTTGAATGTACTGTTAAAGCAGGGCCTCAGGCTAATTACAGTTTCATCCCACTGTACCAGACTTTCTAACCAGAAAGAAATATATATGCAATAAAACCAAGTCATTCCTTGTAATTTGCAGTTAATATTCTCTCAGCCAGGCTGCAGAGAAGTGAAGTTCACATGTAGACTGGTCTCTTGGGCAAATAGATAGTGCCTGTGTTGTGCATAAATTGTGGCATCAGCACTGGATAAAAAGCGGTTGGCTGATGCTAGTATCTCCAGGAGCAACAACAGAGTCTGTTTGGTTTCAACTTTCCTAGTGCGATATGGAAGAAAGTGAAGATGTGCCAAAAGATTTTATCAAGCTCAAGTTTGAAAAGCTGTCTGTAGATGAAGTGTCAGAGCTGGTTGTTTCACCATACTGTGGGGCAGTGTCTCTGTTCATTGGTGAGTTTAATATTTGTGAGCTAAGTCTCTGTATATGTTAATGGTCTAATAAATGGAACCTATGTTGTCCACATCCCAAACTTGTAGTTCTCAAATAAATCAATTCCTGAGCTGAGCCCAGGATGTTTAGAAAACAGATTCTGAATTATTAGAGCAAGACCATGGCAGCTCTTAAATACCTGCAGAGGGCTAAAGTGGTGTGAAGCTTTCTGGCTGGTATGGCTATTGTAGGACTGAACAGAACAGCAGCTGTGGAGTACAGAACTGCCTCGGAGTTGTTCTCCTGTCCCTTGGGATACAACTTGTTCAGGGTGGGAAATGGGATATTGTGGCTATGCCAACCACATATCCACACCAATATGCAAGGTCCTGTTACTCAGGTCTTAGTTGAAAGTGAAATACTATTCTACCAGTGGACTGGTGAAAGTCAGGCTGGTAGTTGTGTCCTGTGGTTCATGTACATGGCACACATATGAAACTTCCTTGTGCTTAAACCCTAGTGCTGCTAGGCTCCTAAATACTGGGAATTTAAAAATTACTTGGGCCAGTGCCATTTAGTTACCACAGAAGATGTCCCAGCCTTGGGCATTATGGACTGCAGACCTCTAATGTGTAAACTAAATTCTTCCTTTTATAATAAAGATTTATCTTGTTCAAATGCTCTCATTATGCAGCCATGATTAGGAGAGGTTGTTTATATTTGTGCAGTGCTGACTTTGACCATAGCAAGAGATCCTGGGTTTTTACTCTATATTAATATAATATACAATGTTTATTATAAAGATACAATATAAAAAAGTGTTCATTTACTCAGTATTTTAGTTGATAATTTTTGTTTAGGTACTACAAGAAATAATTTTGAAGGAAAAAAAGTGATTCGCTTAGAATATGAAGCATATACTTCAATGGCAGAGACTGAAATAAAGAAAATCTGCAGAGATGTTAGACAGAAATGGCCTTCAGTCAAACATATTGCAGTGCACCATAGACTTGGGTATGTATGTCAAAATCCCATTCTTCTGCAACTGGAGCATCAATGCTTGTCAGGTGCATAGCTGTGCTTACATAGTTGCAGAACCTGCAGGAGTGTTTAGAAACCATAGTACAGCAAAGCTGGCTGCAGGATCAAGCTCTTGCTCTGGAGCTAAGTTTCAAAAATTTTGTTTTCAAAAATGTGTTTATTGGTAGGGTTTGCTGAAGTCCACACAGCCAGGCAGGATCTTTGATGCTGATGTGATGTTTTGAGAGTGGGGAGATACTTCATTCCAGGGAAGGGGAGGTTCTTGATTTATTTTGTTTGTTATTTTTAAAAGGTGTGAAGTTGGCAGCACTTTATTTTTTTCTTCTATCTCCTGTTGACGGGCTACAGAATGTTCTTAATGTGAGATTTAAGTCTGTTTATGCTACAAAAAGTCTGAAAGCTTAGGCTGTGGGGCATAGTAATTGTCAGCCTTGCTTGTGGGAGAACCTCCTGTTGTTCTTTGAGTCTTGGATAAGCATTTTCCTTTTGATTCAAAACATAGAATACTAGTGTCTGACATACTCCTGGGCCTTCCCAGTTCAGGGAAGATTTCTTGCTGAAACTAGCAGGATTTGCTGAAATCCTAAAGGAACTTGGGATGTGATTGCAAAGGGTAAGTAAGATACAAGGCCTGAGGGGTAGTTTCCCTAGATTTCCTTCTACAGTCAACGGAGAGGATGGCTATCATGAGAGCAACTCAAAGTATTTAGGCTGAGATTTCTTCCGTGGATTTTGCTGAAGGAGTCTTACTATAGAGGGAGAATTGGGAGGTAGGTTTTGGGAATGCTACAGTTGCAAGGAGAAACACAGAACCTTGTGTTTCTGTTAAGTTTAACACAATACACTAAGTAGGAAACTTCAGAATCTAAAATCAGAATTCATCAAAAAATTGCTTTCTTTGCAAAATCTGCACAGTGTCAGCCACTTAATTTTTTTCTTTTGCAAATTCTTGTGCAAACTGAGATGATTTGTAAGGTTATTAGATAAGAACTGGCTGTTCTAACTTGTTATTGTTCATTATTAAGCTAGCTTCCAGTGAGTTTCCTATGCATTGTTACAAGTTAACAATTTCCCCCTCTTAATTCCATAGGCTTAATTGTAAAAAAAGAAAGAATGGAAAAAAAAAGCCCGTGTCTAGTGGGTTTATTTATTCTGAAGTGTGGAATTCTAACATCTGGTAGTGATCTTGGTTATGGTTTTCTTTCTTTTTAAAAGTGTATAATCTTTTGGATGTGGTTTGACACTTGCTCAGTATGAATGAGTCAGGAGAGCATGTGGCCAGAACACTGACGTGACATGGCCACAACTTTTGGGTGCTCTTGATGTTAAGTGTTAGCTAAAGCTGCTGTTGTTCCTCTTCTCTCCCTAGTGTGGTTCCAATAACTGAAGCAAGTGTAATTATTGCAGCCTCCTCTCCACACAGAGCAGAATCCCTTGAAGCTGTAATGTACTGCATCAATACCTTAAAAGCATCTGTCCCAATATGGAAAAAGGTATGTTTTGGGGACAAAATAAAATTTAGGCCTATGCTTGTCTTAGATGTCTGGGCTGCCTTAGCAGCATTACAGGCAGCAGCTGCTCCTGATGGGTTGTCCAGCACCAGTGAGTTTCCTCTATCACAGTCAAGCCCATATATGGTAGGTAGAGCATCTGGAAGGTTCTCCTGTACCTATACCATCCAGCTCTTCTTTATTTTGAAGGCATCGTAGGGTGAAAGCAAAGGAGGCCTGAGCTCTCCTCTTTTGAGTAGCAAAACTCAGTTCAGCACAGGCTTGTGGAAGAATCTGAGTCAGTTTTGCTTTGGACAGCATTGCAGTTTGCAAGTAAAAGGAGCATTTCTTACCTTTCTCTTTTCCCCTCATTGCTGTGGCCATGAGAAAGCACTAAGCAACAGCACACAATGAAGTCATGAGCAGAAGTTCCAAAGCTAGTGCAGGCATACAGCAGTGTGTGGAGAAACCAGCCCAAGTCTAGAAAGAGCCCTGTTGTGTAACAGTGTTGCATGCAAGTAAGGAGCATTATCTCTGCCTTCTCTCCCTGGCAGAACTTGGCACGTGGTTAACAGTGATATTCCCCAGATTACTCCACTTTTCTGATACCTCCTTGAGGAGATGGAAGTTCTTTCAGAATGAATAATCAGGGACTCAGAATTTGCTGCTTAGGACTGTACTGCAGCTGGGTAATCCAGTCTGTCCTTAAGATCTATTACTGTATTTAGTGTATTAATGTAATTTTTATTTTAATATTGGCATTTTGTTACATCTAAATTCTCATAACAAAATGATGGTACAGTAGATTTATGTAGCAGCATATATGCTGTTTACATTACGGCAATTAGATAATTTCTTCTAGATCTCTTTGTTGAATTCATTTCAGCATAGGTGGGCCCTTTTAAATTCATTGGGGATTAGCCTGGGATTCAGCTAAGTCCATATGTTCTAAGGGTGCTGCCCTCTCTTCTGCTTACCAGCCAAGGGCTGTGCAGTCCTGTTGTGATCAGTAAATAATAGTGGGATGGCTGTTGACTTATTTGGCCTGGTTTGTAGCTGTATGTAGCAGACTCACAGCATTTCCCATTCTTTGTTTGTATTACAGGAGATTTATGAGGATGAATATTCTTGGAAAGAAAACAAGGAATGCTTTTGGGCAAATTCAGAAAAATAATTGTACTCTTTTGAAAATAAAGTGTTACTCTTCCTAATGAAGTTTGAGTTTTTACAGAGAATCTCTATGTTTCTAAACAGTTCTAATAGATGTTTCAATCTCAATAATTTAGTTTGGACTGAGTGAGATTATGGAGGATTAATGAGGGGTTTTAGGTATTCCTGACTCTCCTTTGGAGTTGCCTGTTTGTGCATTTTAACGTGGAGTCAGTTTTTAAAAGAATCCTCCCCAAAATTCTTTGTTGCAAGGTGTTTAGACTACTCTGTGATGAATACTACTTTAATGCTTTTACCTTGGTAGTCTGTGTTCTCTGACTGTATGGAAGGTCACCACAGGACAATTGCATTTTTTTAATCTTAAAGTTCAGAGAGATTTAATTTTCTATGACTGAAGACTTAGGTTTGCAAGCTTTATGCTATTCTGACATTCTTGTAACATGAAAGCTATTTGAAGTAGATGAACTGTTTTAGTACAGACAGAGAAGAAAATACGAACTATACCCCAGAGTTATTAACCTTTTAGTAGTGCTTATATTCCAGTAGCTTTGTCTTACAGAAAGGTTTTTACTGTGCAGCTGATATTACCAGGCCATTGCATTAAGAAATATGGATAGAGATTGATTTAAAGTTAAAGATATTACTCTACCAACAAAAAAATTGCCATAGCAATAACACACCAACCTGTAACTACTTAATGATGTCTAGACAAAATTTTGAAGGTGACTTTTTGGTTGTGTAGTTGTGTGGTACTGGAGGAAAAAAACTCCAAACCAGTTATTATTACAAATACACAACTATAGTGTAATTAGTTGCAGTAATTTGACTTCATATGTGTAGGGATTAAAAAACATTAAATGAAATAGTTTTTCAAAGAAAAGGGAGTTTATTGAACTTCATATATGCATTATTGGAATTCATATATGCATTTATATTCACATTCAAGCTTTAATCTTACTACTGTTTTTCTCTTGTTACTGTTTTGAAAACCAGTTAAATGAACTGACATAATATGCCTGGAAATAACGTTACCTGTCTGAGCAAGGTCATTTTATTTGTTATTCTACTGTGCTATGGTAGTATTTAGATGCTAAGAATTTGAGGTCCCATTGTGTATGGCATTTCTGTTAATGCTGAGAGGCAGTTTTATCAAGTCGTCAATTATTTGTGTAGACAAGGTAGATACAAGCAAAGGGAAATAAGGTAACGCTAAATTATTTGCTCAGTTGCTCATATATATGTTCCTATATCAAATATATTTATTTATAATCCAGGTGCAAGGTCATACTCCTGAGTCAGGACAATCCCAAGCACAGATACAAGCTGGAGGGAGAATGGACCAAGACACGCCCTGGAGAGAAACCCTTGAGGGTGTTTGTGAACAAAAAACTCAGTATGAGCTGGCAATGTGCACTTGCAGCCCAGAAAGCTGGTTCTGTCCTGGGCTCTATCGAAAGCAGCAGGGCTGGCAGGTCAAAGGGTTTGATTCTGCTCCTCTGCTGTGCCCTCAGGAGACTCCTAGGGAGCACTGCATCCTAATCTGGGGTCCTCTATGCAATATGAATGTAGCTGGAATGAGTCCAGAGGAGGGCCATTAAGTTCATCGGAGGACTAGAACACCTCTCCTGTGAAGGCTGACGGCTGGGGTTGTTCAGCTTGTAGAAGGCTCCAGGGAAATCTTACATCAAATTTCAGTGCTTAAAGAGGGCTTACAAGAAGTTTGGGGGGGCAATTTTCACAACATGTACTGATAGGACAAGGGGGAATGGCTTTAAGCTGAAGTGAGGGTAGCTTAGATCAGCTATTAGGAAGAAATTCTTTAGTGTTGGGGGGCTAGTGAGGCACTGGCACATAATGCCCAGAGAAGCTGTGGATACCCCATCCCTGGAAATGTTCAAGGCCAGGCTGGATGGGGCTCTCAGAAACCTGGTCTAGTGGAAAGTGTCCCAGCCTATAGCAGGACGGTTACGACCAGATGGTCTGTAAAGGGCCCTTCCAACCCAACCCAGTTGTTGATTCTGTAATCATTATATCACACAACAGTGAAGCCTCAGCTGTATATTCCATTTTATTGTCTCTGCAGAAAAAATCTACTAACAACTTCTAGCTGCACAAAGTAAAATAAGGACAGTAGGTGATGATCTTTTTTTCCTACGGGTGTTTTAATCACTTTTAATACTTAGTTACTGTATCTGAATTAAGTAAATTGTAAGGAAACATACAGCATCAGGCAGAAACATAGTTAAACTGTGCTTATTAACATATTGATGCACTTTTCCTCAGTGGAAGTCATTCCTTCCTCTGCAGGACAGCAGCTGCTCCTTGCGTGCTTACAGATACACACTCTAGAAACCATGTGGGCCCTATTATCTAGGCAGAGCTAATCAAGTACAAGATTGAGTTTTCCTTTGTTTAGGAGGCTGGAGAGAAGCCCTCTGCTGTTGAATGTCATTTTTACTGGGATTTGTACAGAATACTGAGCACAATCACTCTGTGAAAATTATTTTTCACTTTAGAAGAGAAATACATTAATTTTTTCATATTTGGTGTTAATTTTTCTATGTTCATGTTTGCTGACACCATGCAACTAATAAGTGTATTAATTAAAAAAAAAAAATGTTTAGCTTGTTTTTCAGTGGATAGTTTGTGAATGAAGTAAAACTTATACAGTGCTTCCATACTAGTGCTGTGCTCTCATACAGAAAAACAGTGGTACTTAAATCCGTTAAATTCTACTTGGGTGCCCATGATCAGGGGCAATTCCTGAGTTGCAGAAGTGTCCCTTTATTGCCTTTCTAGTGCTGCAGACTCCTGAAAGATTTCTCCAGGGTGACCTTAAGTGCACCTTCCCCATCAGCAATGCAGCTGGGAAGGATGGTGCAGAAAAATAGAGAGAATAATTGTGTACTTCCCCACAGTGACCAGGAACAATGAATGGAAGAGATGTTGTACTGAGTCACAGCTGAGTGTTACAATGTGTGTATGCTGCCATGGTAAAGACAATGAAATGTCATTTTTTGTCCCTAGCTGTGCATGAGGCAAGTACTGCTTTGTTCTGGAACAATGATGTATCAGTCTTGTGTAACTTCGGGTTCTTTAGCTGGCATGTAAAAGCGAAATGGAAATGTCTCTGGGAGGGATGGTGTGCTAATTAGAGGTAAAATGTATCTCACTGAAATTTAAGTCCATGCTCTGAACTCAGTGTTCTCCCTTTGTAGGGCTACCCTCTCTGCTAGGGCAGTATTATCATAAAAGGGCAGATTACTGTGTTCTACGATAAGTGCTTAAGCTGTGTCTGAAGTGACCCAGAAGTTTTTCCGAATTGCCAGGCCCGGGAATGAATCCCAGCTGTGTCTCACTGTGTGTTAGGAAAAGATGTGGCTGCACATGTCCTGCTGTCCACACATGCAGAACTAGTGCTGGATGAGAGCTATTCTGTGTTATGGTGAGATCCGTTGAGTGGGATGATAGATAATTGCAGATCTATCTGTCTACAAGGAAGACCCAGCTTTCTGGAATGAGTCCAGCTGTTTCTCTTCCTTGTCTGTAGGGAAGGGTAATCCCACCTCTCCATGAGACTAGCTGTGTTAAGCTGGTGGCTTTGGTATGGATGTTCCCAGAAACAAATGCTGCAAACCCAGAGGGTCACCATGTGATTCCTGTAGAGATCTGGCAGATGAAGGCTGTCTGTGGAAGGGAAGTGCATGTCTTCAGAGTGATAATTTGTCCTTCTGAAAAGATCCCTTAGTCTTGGCTGGCAAAATTTGAATACACTGATCCACCCCTTTGTCTGGCCGAACATACCAGCACTGATTGATTTTAAGAGTTTCCTTTCCTTATTTTGAGCATTGTGCTCTGTTCTCAAGAGAAGCTCAGCCTGATCCATACAATGAAAACAGTAAGTGATGGATTGTCATGGAATAACGGGGCAGGGGAGGAAGGGGGTTGTTTTATAAGGTGCCTACCCAGGAGATGGCAGCCGAGATGGCTGAGCAGGGGGAGTGGCTCCTGGCCCGCTCAGGTGCTGGCCATGCTGGGAAATAACAGGCCCTTACATCAGCTCTTGCTTGTGAAAGAGCCACTGCTGCACTCAAGAATGAAGCTTTTAGATTGCTCAACTTTGAACTAGATTTTTGGTCTTTCTCTCTACTCACTTTATGCACAGCTGTTCCAAGTAAGTTGTAGAGTAGCACATTCATTTGTTGCTTCAGAAGCATTAAAAAGAAAGAACTGCTAAATCTAATTATTAACAAATTTTATGTTAAAGCAGACAGTGCTGCTCTTTCCCTCTAAAAATGCTGTGTGAAAAATAGTCTTGAGCATTAAGTGCCATTAAGTACAATTAAGTGTCCTGTGGAGGTGATTGAAAAGAGTTCAGAATAGGCTGGTTCAAGAACAGCTTCTTTGAATACCTTAGGCATGTTTTTTGACAAACACACCATAAAATTTGATTTTATCAAGTGTTACAAAAATAAGCATCCTGACATAACTTTATAGCAGTTCTTTTTATAAAAGTTCCATTTTGACTATTTTAAGAGGCAAGTACATTTTTAAAACTGCTAGCATACTAAAGCCTTTGATGACATACAAATAATTGACCAATTAACTGAGAATAAAAAGGCTTGAAATATAGGACTCAACTTTTCTAAAGCTGTGAAAATGTACGCTTAATTTATTTTTACAGGCAACAAAAAATTGAGACAGCTATAGATTTTGAGATGCATTTTCATACCTTCATTTTTTTTAGTCTTTAATTTTCAAGCTTTTGTTGTAGTTCAGTTTTGGATGTGCTTTAACCCAGCCATTCACTCACTCTGCCACTCATGGAATGGGGGAAAGAATAGGAGAAGTGAGAAATCTCATGGGTTGAGATGGAAGACAGTTTAATAGGGAAAGTAAAAAACTGCTCATTCAAGCAAAGGAAAATAAGGAATGCATTCACCACTTCCCATTGGCAGGCAGGTTGAGTCAACCCCAGGAAAGCAGAGCTCCACTGCATGTGACAGTGGCTTGGGAAGACAAAAACCAAATACGATGAATGCCTGTTGTTGCAGTTTTGTCCCCTCCCACCTTCCTATGCTCCCCCAGCCTCCTTGCTGGTGAGGTGGGGTGAAGAGCAGAAAAGGGCTTGAACCTGTGTGCATTGCTTAGCGACAGATAAAACATCCCTGTGTTATCAGCAGTTCCCACCACAAATCCAAAACACAGCCCTATACTAGCTACTGTCAAGAAATGTACGTTTGCCCCAGTCAAAAGCAGCACACACATGTCAGCAAATAAGGAATCTGGCTTGTAATTTTGCAAAACACTGAGACTTGGTGAAAGGCAGAGTTTCGTGCCTTAAGATTAGTTTCATCTGATATTGTATGATGAAAGAGTTGAAACTGGTAGCCTACCTGCATGCTTATTTTTTACTCTGTAAAAAGTATGGACGAGTTGAAAATACTAATAAAAAGGTCTGTGAAAATTTGTAGTTTTCAGGTGGTAGTTTCTAACAATCCTGTCTTCCTGTCATCTTTCTATCCATAGCCAAGTTCCTTCCTCTCTTATTTTGCCACACTGTTCCTGCTGAAAAGTTGAATTCATTTTTTCCAACATACAGTGGGGTGTAGTCAGAGCCAGAGTCATGACATGCTACTGCTAACCAGTTCTGTAAATAGATAAAGTGCAGGGACTGGCAGAATGGGTGTAATTTTAGATACCAGTGATGATAAGCCCATGTTTATAGGAAGGCCTGGCCATGGTAATGTTTTAACACCATCTACTCAGCTAGAGCTTTCCAAATACTTTGCACTAATGTGAACTGGGTTACAGTACAGTACAGCTTGCTGGTAATGTCCCCTTCCTGACTGTGATCTTCAAGACTTCAAGTGCAGTGTCTTTGTCTACCTAGCAGAGTCATTCCCTTGGGGTTCTCACTGTGTGCTACTGGGACAAAGCCATATTTGGCCCCATTTTATGCTGTTCTTTTTCAGTAGCATTGCTTCTCTTTAGAGTGCTGTTTAAAAGTAAATGAGTCTGCATTTAGTCTGCATGAGTTCAGCAGTAGTCTTGTGTTTTATTGCAGTAATGCTGTTAGGCCCTCAGACAGGCCACCACAGTGATACAGTCCCTGCTCCCATAGAGCTTACATGCTAGCTTTTAGAAGTCAATTTTATTATAAACCCTCTTGTACCTCCCAAATTTATACATAGGCTCCTAAAAACCAACTCAGATTTTGAACTTGATTCTAGTACTTCAGGAAATCAGCAGCTAGATTTCAAGACCAGAATCAGATACAGCTTGAGTTTGCTGAAGGTATTTCTGACTTTTCTTGGTGCAAGCACAAACAGAAGTACATGCTGAAGCTTAACATTTCAGAGTATTTAAAACATGCTGCTTTAAAAAAGTAAATTAAAAAAAAAAAAAACCAAACAAACCAAACCCTTGCACACAATACAAAATATACATAATATTTCCAGTATTATTTGCGACTGTGCCAACTTAAAAGTGCAATAGACTCACTCATTACAAAAACAGAATTATCTATTTAAGTATTAATTGCAAAAGAAAAATGAACTAGTTACTTGGAGTGGTTAGGATACAAAAACCTTACCCATAGCTATGTCTCCCCCTTTTTTTGGAAAAGCATTATTGTGTCCAGGCTGGGAAGGAGAATCATGTTGTCCATGTCAAAATATAACCCAGTAAATACTAGTGAATTGAATCATTGCTACCTGATTGATAAACTGTTAAATCCCCAAAGAAGTTTCATACTGGCTATTGACCTGTACCTCCCACTGAAGTGGAAGAAGGAAATCTGGGTCAATGCCTGAATTGCCCTTGTAGGCAGCACCAGAAATTGAAGATTCTACCATCTGGTGTATTGTGAAATTCTCTCTCTGCTCTGGAGAGCATGACCCTGATTATGTAGGAGCTTCCCACATACATGGCTGTAGGGGTTATTTTTTTCTGCTCAAGTTTATGTAAGAATTGAGGCAGAAAAAATTTTTATTTTTACTCTCAAAGCATTTGCCCTTAAAGTTTATAATTACAAGTCAGGAGCTTATTCTTTAGATTTATGCAATTGCTATTTTTTTTCCCCAATTTTTAAATATTTGTTTTGGTCACAGACTCAGCTGATGGCAAGAATCCTGTTTGATAATTGATATAAAAATCTGAATTGTTTTTCTGAGTGTTAAAAAAATCCCAACAAAACATAACATTTTATCAATACAAAATAAATTCAAAACACATATAAAACTACAATAATCATAATCCAGCTGTTGCTGCAAATGAACTGTTATTTGCCAAAGAGATGGTTGGCTTTTGACTGATTAGCTATTAAAAAAGACTGAGTAAAACTTTCAAATGTGCTTAAGCCTAGTCCCTCAGAAAATAATGGAAAAGTGCCGAAGCATAATTACAATCCAGCTTTGGGGGGAAGAAACCATGACCTCGTGTACTCCAGTCAGGCACATTTGCTTGCATGTTTTACTCTTCAAGTAAATCACCTCAGGTTGGAAACAATCTCACTTGCATGGCAGTGTACATACAAGAACACATCTTTTCTCACAATCAGTTGTAACTGCCAGGCATGAGAGAGAAAGGCAGCCAAAAGGCCAATTCCCCTGACTGTTACCAGTCTTACAGCATGAGCCTTTATAAGACTGAGCTTTCATTATAATCATAAAGGCAGCTTAACAGCATGTGATAAACTTGAGGTGTGTAACCAACACAAAGTCACTCAAGTGTTGTGCTTAGAGCTCATTCCAGAGCACTACAGTACTTCACTGTAAAAAACATAAGTTAACTTCATCCAGACATGAACAGGTGGGACCAAAAATATGTGACAGGTAAGGAGGTTTTACTGAACTTTGGTCTCCTGGAGGGCACTGAGACGCTAAAGAAATAAGTGCAGTAAACATTTTACAGAGCTTAGATCTTCACTATCCCCTTTTGTAACGTGCATAGTTCCTCAGTCAGCGATCCCCTAAATTCACTCTATGCTCTTAGTCTTGCAAAATCTTTCATTACAGAATTAAAGGCAAGATCTTAACTGTGTTTTCTATTTATGTCAAAAGCCAAACTGATACCAGAGGGACCGAGAGTGTAAAGGCCAGCGTAACAGTAGTGGTAGTGCTTCTCAAGATGAAAATGAGTAATAACATTGCAGAGAACATGCTGTAAGTGATTATGAAATTCATATTTTCTTCTCAGGGAGAAAGTATGCAGAAGACAGTTGTACATACCATTTGGCAGTATTTCCCCAAAACAATATCCTTCTGTAATTTAGTTGTGACCTTAGTGCAAGAAATACGGTGAACTTTTGGAAGACTTTGCCCAACCAGTTGTCCTGTAGCACCCAGACAGACATCTTCATACACAGTTCCCACAGTTTATAGATTAGTTAAAGCAAAGGTTTGCTGGTGGAAATTATTTTCCTAAAACAATAAGGATGGAGCTAGTCAATGAAAAAATTACTTTTCTTCTCCCAGTCTGGAAGCAGTATTCACCACACATTCATCATCAACTTAATAGAAAATGTCCTTTAACACATGTGGTACTTGTCAACTAAATTACCAATTGATGCTGTTCCACAATAATCTGAAATAAATTCTTCTGTTTCACTCTGCAGTGGATCAAGAGAAGGACTGCTGGAACAGTATGTTACTGTATACTCCGGACCTGCCAGTTCTAAGGGTTAAGTTTGTTTGAAAGGCAAAAATTTACAAGAAAAAGCACTATAAATCATTTTTGAAAAAACCAAACTGTCCTGCAGTTACTCTTGCAATAGAGTAGAATCTGTAAAATATTTTCATCTATATAAAGACACTTTCATTAAAAATGTTTAAATGTTACTAAGCTTTAAGGCACTCCAGCTGAAGAACTGACTGATCACAACGGCTATTGGTGGCTCAGATCTCCCCTTTATCCACATAACTCATCTTCAGTCTTTGTCCTTTGTGAGTTCTGCAATTTCATCAACATCTTCTATATCCTGTGTCATTTTCTCGTACTGTCTCTTGAAGAAGCCAAGCTGTGAGAAGTATTAAAATAACACCACGTTGCAGTCAATGATTGATAATTCATTTCTCAGCAAAACGAAATACTTTGATGGTAGAAATGCACATGTGTGCATGCATACACTATAGAGTTTGATTTATAGACAGTTCTTGCCTCTAAAATGAAAGGAGGTGTGCCCTGAACTCCCACCTGAGGCAACTAAATGCTAGAGTAGCAGTGCTGATTAGCCAGTTTTCTCCCTGCAGAGATACAGGCATTTCCATGATGCCTAGGAGCACTTCAAACACCAATGCCCTGGCACACAGAAAAACATCCCCTTTTTCCATGTAACCTTTGTACTTTACTATTTGCCCTTGCCCTTTCTTTTATCTGTTCTTTTATCTGGTCAGTATATATCCTCTCCCATCTTGTTTGTAATGCCCACCCTTGTCCACTGGGAATAGCATGGGTTTTCAGAGCACAGCTGGTATATTATGGAAGGAGGCAGACAGTGTTGAAAGGAAAAAGTAAATGCCACAGCTCCTGTTTTGAATGATTGGCAGCTCATTTATCATCTTCATGAAATGTGAGGACCCATTTCATGAACCCTTTTAAAATATGTCAAGGGTATAATGGCAGTGCAGTATTATTCATACCGCTGAACTGCAGATGTGGTTTTATCTTACACTAGAGAAGAGATATTCCAGAGAAAATAACCCAAATATATTTATCCCTTTTTTGTTTTAAGAGTATAAGTACCTACTTACTTTCCACAAAACAGCAACCAGTACCAACAGCAAGAGGAGTCCAGCCAATATGCTGCCAATCACAACACCTACTGGCACCTCAGCCTTCTCATCCGGCTTCATTATTGTAACTGGGATCTGAGAGCAGAGAGATTGTGTCTTAGGAGTTAATGTTAACTGCAAATAACATAGGATTTGTAAACCAAAGATCAAGAATGCCTGGAATACACATATTCTAGGATCAATGACTGGAACACACCAAGCAATTACAGCCCTTTCACTGGTGCCCATGGGTGCCTGGTTGCACTGTGGACACAGCAGTGCCAGCTATGGACTAGAGGCCCTCATCACTCTTGGCCATACACAACAGGCAGAGAACCAATCTCTCCTGCCAGCTGCCTCTCCATTAACAGGAGGCCTTTCAGAGGCTCCACACACCATTACTGTGTAAACCAGCCATATTTACATGAATGTTTACATGAATGCAGCCTGGTGTACAGCCCCAAAATCAGACTGCTGGAGAAGCACTACTTTTCACCAAGCGTTGTCAGAGCCTGTTATCTCTGCTGGGCAGCTGTAGGAGGCAGTACTAATCACTGAAGCCAGACACCATCACATCTGCTGAAATTCCAGTCCTCCTGCTGGGCAGGTACCTCAAGCTCCTTTGCCTGCTGTTCCTACCTTCTATGAAACCACTAATGACTTTACAGATCTCAAGGAGATCTGTGTTCTCCTGGGTCAACTGAATGAATTTGCTGCAAGATGTGTGGGTCAAACAGGAGCACCTCTAGCACACCTACATTTCCTGAACCACAAACAGTACCAGAGAGCTCCCAGAAGAGCAAACAGTGTTTTTGACTCTGGAAGGCAAAACAGCTCTGGAAGTTAGTTTTCAGGTGATACCCTATCTAGCTGGATTAGGTATAACCAAATATATAATTACATATAACAGAGTTTCTTGGGGAGACATTGCTGCAATATTTATGAACTGTCAAATTTTTGGATTTAATCTTGGAACGACATGCAGTTAGCTGAAAGTTTTTTTTCCTTCCTGAAACATGATAAAACAAATCACACTAGTTTATTTTCTCAGGGTGGTTGTTCAGTGCATTTGTCTGGAGTAATTTAATCTTAAGCTTTCTGGGAAACTTGCACTGGACTGACATTTCAGTGATTTAAGTCATTTCTGTTGGAAAGCTCCAATGTTGTGCTAGGTGTGGTTATGTGTATTCATTTCACCAAGGCAGGATGGCTTTGTGTATTTTCTAACTGAAAGGCCATAATGATGATTCTAGCAGGTTAACATTTTGGCCTTCAGCTGCTTTCCAACTTGGAAAAAATGTGAAAGCTTTTACGTAAAAATACCTAAGCAGCTTCCCCACATAGCATCACAAGGAAATATTCATTTATTTGGCTAAACAACAATCCAGTTCATCCAGTGTAAAAAGCCAATTTAATATATGCAGTTTGCCTAGTAATGTTTTCTGCATTAGATTGAAGTGGCACTTGGAAAGGAAAATTGATGCCTAAGAACAAATTATCTTTCCTGAAGTTAAACTGTGGTCAATAACACACCATGAGACTGGGATTCAACTCATCTGGTGTTATATCTACAACATAGTTCCTTGACCCCCAAAGGAGGAGAGGCTTTTTAAAGAGCCTAATTCAACCTAGTTATTTTCAGGATCTTCTTTAGGATGAGATGAACTGCATTTCAGAAATACCTGTTCTTTCCAGGGTCTAGGGTTTATAGAATGTGGATGACTAATGCAGATATTAAATTGGAGGAATCCTACCACATCCGTCTACATTAACAGAGAAGTAAGTAGGGAAATAAGCTCTGTTTGCTTCTGCACTGTCCTGTCCTCAAGGAAGTGTGAAGGGCACTTCACAACCATCCCTGTTGGCCTGACAGGAAGTGCATTGCTGGGCACTGACTCCAACTGTCAAACTATCTGAAAGGAGAAAGTACCTCCACAACCTGGCACATTTACCAAGACTTCTCACAGAGCAATAGGTCACTGAGTAAAGATCAGACTGAAAGTCACCAAAAGCCTGCCTCAAAGGTGCCTCAGAAGTCCCAGCTGCACATGTCTCAATGGCTGGGGGAGGAATTAACTTTTACTTGTCAACTATCATTTGAATAATTAAATTCTAGTTCTCCTGAAATTGCCAACAGAACCTCTGGTAATGTAGATTTGGCAGTACCATGCTTCAAATGTGGAAAAATACTTATTAATAAATGGTTTATGAGCTTACCTAAGAAGCTTGTGTAATTACCTGGAATATTTGCATTGCATAGTAATGAGTTTCATCTCCTAATAGAAATACCATGCCAAATTGAAGCACTTAAAACACTTACTGGCAAGTAATTTTTCTGTGAAAACATACTTCCTTTGTTCTTCAAGCACTGGAAGATTTCCTGATTACAAAATAGCTTATTTAGAGGTTCTTCACAAGAAATAGAGTGATTAATGAGAAACCAATGATTAAAAATGGCATTGGATGATGGCCGTATCACTCAGTGAGAGAGATCAATCTGTAACTGCTTTTGTATGTTTCACTGAATTCTCTATTACCTATGAAAGGGCTATGCTGCACATTCTTACAGATATTTGACTCATTTATTAATTTGCATTTTGCTCTTTAATAGCCTTGGTTATTTTATGGATAAAACAGGCTATTATGTCCTGTAAAAATAAATCTGAAGTTAGTACTGCAAATGGAAGAGTGTTCCTCTCAAGACAGACTAAGAGAAAAAAAAAGGCGTCCTCTTTTATTACAACAGTACCACAGCACTACTGTATTCTTCCAGTGTTCTTTTATGTTTGTATACAGCAAATAGAAAGCTTGGAAGAAGAATTCTATACTAATAAAGCAGTGGTGGAGACTTCTCTTGAGATTAGCTGTGTCCACATTGTCCATATGACAGCTATTACAAATGCTAAAAATATTCCACATTCCTTTACAAATGAGATTATTTTCTGGAGACCTTTGCCAAACATTTGTTTAGAAACATCAAACCATACACTTATAGAAGTAAGTAAGACTATAAATCAGATTTGTGAACGTTTCCCAGAGCTCAAGAAGCTCCCATTGCAACAAGAAGTCTAAATTTTGATCTTTTCATGAACAGAAATCTATCTGAATTTCAGAAATTTCTAGCTGACTTTTTTTCAGAGTTCTACAATTTATTTGAGACCGACAGGTTTTAACTATGTCTGGTTTATATAGAAGAGGACTGAAATGAAAACATTTTAATAACTTAAGGGAGTTGTATAAAGTCAGAAGGAGACATTAGTTCAACATAATTGAGTTGCTATGTACTCCTAAAGGACACTGAAAATAAAGTACTATCACTTTAATACAGTTAAAGATAAAGAAGTTAAGAAAATATACTTAACTATCACTTACAGTTAGGGTATTCTCTCCAATTATAAATAAATCAGGGTTATGTGTATCAATTTTTGCTTCTGCAGAGAGTTGTAATGTCTGGAAAATTAACTGAAAGAGAAAATTAAAACAACTGTAAAGCTCTGTTATAGGGCAACTTGATTAAAATGCAGATATCCTAAAATGATTCTATTGCCTTGAAATGAAGACTTCAAAGCCAGAAAAGAAATTTACAGTATTAAGAAAATTAAAATGATTTTTATATTTTTCCCTGGCCAACTTGTCAATCAAAGTAACAATATATTAGTTATCCACTTAGCAATGACATTGAGGAACTGGTTTTTCTTTTTCTGTAATGTACAGTTCAAGCAAAACAGAAGGAATTATTTACGTAACCCTTTTTATAGTTATTTCAAAGCTGTCACTACTGCTAGCAGGGAAGAGATGGGGAAAAGAGCAGTGAGAAAAGGAGACACAGCAACAAAGGACAGATGGGAATATATCTCTGGCCTTTGAGAGAAATGGAAACTGGATGTTCTTTTACTTCCTCCCGCCCTCACTTCTATCCAATTCTTCTGTTTTTCCTCATTTATTTTTTCCTTTAATGATGTGTTCCTCTCTTCGTCTCAAATTCTGACATAGCTCTCTCAGTTTCAACAGAGAAGATGACAAAAATCTTAAGCCAATTCCTATTTGAAAAAGGACCTTGTGCCAGACTCCACTTCCCTTTGTGGATGTACTGGGCAGAGAGGTGAAAGCTGTGTAGACGCTGACAATTCACTGCTGCTCCTCTACAGCACCACAAGGAATGGCCTCAGGTTCATGGTAGCACAGGACCACTCTCCAGCTGAGCCAAAGGCAATGCCTGCTCTGTCATTTTGCCTCCTCAGGCATTTCTCTGTGGCAGGGCCAGGTACCACAGGCGGCAGTGGGTCTGCAGTGGCCAACACACCAAACTGACTGTCTCGGCAGTGTGAGTTATTGCATCCCTGCACTGTGACCATCTGCCAAAGTGGTGTGTCCTGCACACCTGAAAGTTTAGAATCACACCTGAGCACTATTCAAAGCACCTCAATTCCTAAACACATCTTTTCTTTGCTTATCGGGTACTGCCAAGCCTGATATCCTTCTTGGACAGTGGCTGATTGCTACTAAATTAAAAGGCTGATTATGTGCATGACTGAGCAAGTGCTTGCAAGATTATTTGTGCTGAATTTCGACAATCAAATAGAAAATTACAAAATGGAGGAGAACTGTGACATATGAACTTTCCTTCCCATTGGCCAGGGATGGTAAACAAACCATTCCCACTCACTTTCTTGTGAGGGTACTAACCTTTTGTTCAGGTCTCTACCTTCTAACAGCACTAACAAATGGTCTTGACCCAGCTGATTAGAAATATACAAACTCCAAAGACAGGCAGATGCTTTTTGTCGCCCACTTCCGCAACACATTTAACAACATCAACCTGACCTTTTCCTTTTAAGAGTTGAATGCTGGAGCTGACAGCAGCCCAGCTGTTAAATGTCAATACCTGACACAAGAGTCACCAGACACACTAAGGAGACTGCGTCATGTTCCTGACATGTTAGGCAAATCCAGAACTCCAAGACCATTTGGTTGGTTGCCTAGCTAAAAAGCAAACATGGTCTAACTTCGAAAGTCTGGTAACTCATGATGAGTTTTATTCTGGAGGACACATGGTGATTGAAAATAGGCTGAGATATTGACGGATATTTTAAGCATCCTGTAGGTCTCTAAGCAAGGACTGATTCTTTGACACCTACTCTAATAAACACAAAAAATCAATTAAAGACATCTTCCACACTTTATATATCAAATAAAACTGGCAGTACTAACAGGGTTTTGGTATTTTGATGTGATTTAAAATGATCACGATGTAGGCTGTGATGTTCAAAAACTAAAAGCATGATTATTTTACAGGCTATGATGATACTGTGCTCTGCTGTCCTATGATGAGTTTTGTGGAAACTGTAGTTCCCCTAGAAATGAATCTAGCAGATGTCAGAAATGGTTTTTTCAGCTGTGAAGGTTGCATTATCACAGCGTATTCTTAGATTCTGTGCTGGACTGAAGTTTTATCAGCTCCATTATGCAGCCTCACTACTTTTAGGTTCAAGTTTTCAATCTGGGAAAACACAAACCAATATAAAGTAAAGGAAGGTCTTTCTCTACTGTGAGGTATCTGTACTGAACTTTGAAAAATATCAGGAGTTTGCAAATACTTGAGTACTGGATCCTCCATAAAGATGCAGCTGATACTCACGGAAGCAAAGGTTCCATTCCAGATTTGGGTGGACACGTTCACAAAGTACTCTCCCTTCAGTGTAATATCTTCCAGTTTGCATGTGATGGTACTGCACTTCACGTTCTTACAGGTCTTCCAGGTGAAACAGCAAGAAGGGGCAACAGCATGCATTAAAAACACACTTTAAAAAATGTTCTTGCAACATCCAGACTTTTTGCCCTTGCCTTTCCTGTTCTCTGCATACAAATAAAATGCCTGCAGGCTGTGCTAAAGCAGATGCAGTGTCTGTGAGAACATCCATAGGCTGAGCTCCTGCTCCGTAAATGAGGAATGCCACCCCATCACAGCTGTCCTCACAAGTACAGCAATGGGCACAGAAGGTCAGCTCTGCTTCCCTCAGCTCAGAAGGTCCTGCTTACTGCTGCCCTGGGTTTTACTCACCAGTTCTTTGGAAGTTCTGAAGTTCTCTTTTATGAAAGATGGAGAATAAGGTCTTTTCCCAATTTGCAGTGGATTTATCTGAGCGTCACAAGTAACACCTTTGGCCTAGGAGAGATGACAGGAATAAGACTGCATGACATGCTACTTGGGAGTTTATAAGCATCATCATAATATATATTTCTGGGATTATATGGTGGCTGTAAAAGCCTAGAATGTGAATACTGAATTCTTTAGGAAGCTAAGAATATGTGGCTTTGGTCAGAAGTAAATAATTCTTAAGACACACCTTTTTTTTCCTTTTTTTTTTTTTTCACCCTAGATTGACCTGAAGGGTTTTTACTCAGCTAAAAACTTAATTTTTACTATAATTTTCCCAGGGACTTGCTGAAAGACCTAATTGAAGAGATCCAGATACTCCACATCTGCCAAGTAATAGGCTAGTGTACTTCTGGCATTGTGGTCCCCCCTTTATGGGGAAGGGACAAGGAGAAAAAGCATGGATTCTCTTAAACTAAGCCATAATCTTGGGGAGATAATTGATGTTTATAGTACTGATAAACCCCTAAAACACAGTTCAGTTCTGTACCTCATCTGTGGTGACTGCAGTTAGGTACATTAGTGGGTTGCCTTTGCTGGTCAGTGCTGGAAGATTGATTGTTACAGATGCCACCTTTACTGGAATACTTCCTGTTGTTACCTGCAAAGCAAAAAGCTCAGGAGTTACTTCAGATAGCTATGCATAAATTACCTGATACAGCAAGAAAATTAGAAATAATGGATGAATATGGAGCAACTGGACTCCTTTTACATCAGCATTTTTTTATTAAGACACTGGGGTAGTGATTTTGTGAATAGTAAAGCAGAAAATGTACTGTATAGCTCCAGGTTCCTGTCTGTTTTCTTAGCAAAGTTCATATTAATTTCATGAAATATGTTTTGAAAAACAAATATTCTGCCATGGCCAATAGGCCTGTTTAGTCCTTTGGAGTAGCAGTTACAGGAATGGAAATGGAATGTAATTTAAGTTTCTTCCACGTTGCATATTTGGATCTAAGTTTTTTTCTGTGTTACGTAATAAGCACCGTGATTTGGCTAGTTCTTGCATAACGTCTGAGCCCTTAACCCTTGCCAAACTTGAAGTTTCAAAATCCAAGCCTGCAAAGACTTGTTTTTCTTTATCAAGTTGTCAGGAGACTCTGTGAAAAAAACAGTCTAAGTTGGCCTAAAGTTAAGCATTAACCATCTTCTAAATAAATACACAGTGCAGAATCAATCCCTCCCCCATTCTACTTGTGCAAATGTCATCTTTAACCTTGTGAAGACTCCAAGTACCTATGCTATTTGTAACTTTTTTTCTTACTTGACCTATTCAAAAGCCTCAAAAATTAGACAATGAAAACGTAAACTTTTTTTTTTTTTTTAAACTAGTTTTGGGAGCAGGCTATAGAGGGAGCTTCTTGAACCAGAACAAAACAGACTTACTAACCTTAACTGAGAAGTTGAACGTGGGGCCAATATCTTCAAAATTATTCACAGTGGAAGGAATGTTATGACCAGAGTATACTTCATAAAAGTTGATGTTGGCAAGCCTGGTTAACAACCATAAAACAATACATTTCAACTTGGCAGCTGCTTTGAAAACATATGTTACTGGATATGGCTTTGTGAAACAGGTCAGAAGTACAGACAGAGAAAAGTCAGTCACTTAGATTGTTGTTTGAATTTTATGAAGTTAGTTAAGAAAATGCTGTACTGAAGCCCAGAGCTGGAAGAAACTTGTGAAATTAAGACAAGACAGTTGTACAGGATACAGGCACTCTCAGGCTTCTAGACCCTGCATTATTTCAGGGCCATACTGCAAATTCCTCCTCTGCACACAAACTGCAATGTTTGACTTGCAGTCATCTTTTGCTTCAGAAAGGGCCTTCCTGTCTCCCGTGGTACATCTGTAACTGGCTGGGTGTGGAAACACAGGCATCACCCTGCTTTATGTCCATGGTACATATCACATAGCCCTCACAGTCCTCTTTGGGGATGGAAAAACATGTGCAAGGAGCTGTGGCTGCTTTTGGAGCTCAGTTAGTCAGAATCACACTCAAAGGCAAGGAAAACATCCCTGTGCAAGTGCATCACACCTACTGCCTGCTACCTGTGAGCAGCTTCTCTGCTAAACCATCCCAGAACTGTGTCTGCTCTTCATCATTAGCTTTCATTAGAAGGCTAATCTGAGCAGTCAAAAAGCAAGCTGGTGAGTTAATAAGAAACAGGGGCTATTACAACTCCTTCATAAGCTCTTCCTGTTACACAAGGAATCTATCATCTTTACCACTATCCCTGTTCAATCTGGGTAACATCTGTGCATACAGTCCCAATTTAATGTGTGTGCAGTCTCACAGATGTGATTCCTGATCAGTTGTGATTCTCCATACTACACTGTGGATCCTTTTTGATCCTCTGTACTTTCTCCCATGGGCCCTTTCCTTGAAGGGCTTGCTCACAAGTACTCCAAGGAAAACACACATGACATTTTTGCTTCCTTACTGCTGAAGACTGTAGAGTCCTTCCAAGATGCACAGTATCAGCTTCCTTGTTCTTTCAGAAGTCTCTGGTAAGACATATTGCTACATGTTCTCCTAGAAACTCAGGAAATTATCCCTAGAAAGACTTCACTTTAGCAAAACAATACTTTTTTCTCAACCCTTGTATTTTAAGGGATTACTTCTTGGCTGCATTACCTGCCTCAGGACTGAACTAATTCCAGGTAAATACTTCCTAAGCCAAGTTGTGCCATGGCTTAATACTCATTTCATTTAATTATTTTAAATTTATTATCTCCAAGAATAACTAACCATTTTCTGGCTGTAGGTATTCCTTCATTCCTTGATGTGCATATGAAATTCCATTTTCTCATATTCAGATGTCACTGAATTCAAACCCTGTTTTCCCTTGAACGACTTTTATAGACTCCATGCCTTGCTTCTTCTGAAGCATTTCATTTCAGTTCATATTTCTCAGCTAATTAAACCTGCTGATTCAAGTTTACACCGTCTGAATTTCCTAAGAGGCAAGGCCTCTGTACAGATGCTTGTGCAGTTTCTGCTGCTTCTGGCAAGGTCCTATTCAACTTTCTCAAGGAGGTGAAAGAACTTGCAACACTGACTCAAATGCTTCTCTGCACTTAAAATAATCTCAAAAATTCTGCATGACTCCAGGACTGGTGCACCCAGCCATGATGCAGGCCCTCTAATATTCTGAAACTTCTTCTGCAAAGAAGGTTATGACACTAATCTCCTGTACTGTCATCCCTATTCCAGCTCATCCTACACAGCAGCCAACAGTTCCTGTAGCTATGGTAATCTCTGAATATTAAATTCCGGGATCCACTGTTGCTCTGCATCTTGAAGCAGCTCCTTATTTTTCAAAGTTCTGTTATCCTCTAAATATCTACTGGGTTTTTTTATATCCATTTACTAATTTTTGAACACTTTGGGATGCAAAAGCATTTTTTCACCAAGAATTGGTGGTCGTTGATCCTAGAAATTCAATATTTGGGAAAGAGAAATAAATCTCTTCTTTGATGAAAATTCAAATATCTTACCTTGATCCCAGAGTGACACCAATGTATTTTTGTTTCAGTTGTAATCTAAGTTAAACTGTAACTTAAATAATTCTTGTTTGGAACAGTAACAGACTAATTACTTCTTGAGAGCATCCCAAATCACCAAGTGTTTTCAGAACTCAAGGTAAGAACTTTCAAGAGCACTATATGAAGATAAAAGGTCTTAAAAGGCTTTTTGTTGGTTTATCCCCCCCTGCCTGCTCAGCTGCCTCTCCTTACAAACCACCCTTCCCAGGCTAAGGATGGCTCTTGCAATAGCCCTGGCTTGCCTTCTACATGGAGAAGAAAGGGCTGGCACCAGGCAGGGCTGGTAGGTTTGAGCCAGAATCTGGATGGGTACATGGAAAAGCAGGGTGTCTGCTCCCCATGCCAGTGCAGCTGCAACAAGGGAGAATTTGCCAGGTGCACCTCAGGATTTAGTTCAAATCATTATCTCAAACTGCTAGAAAGTCTGTATTTTTGTTCCGTGTTCAACAGATATGTCTATTTTTTTCTTTCTTTTCCCCCCCCTCCTTTGCTGAGAGTTTGGTATATTTTTCCTTTTGATATTCTTTTGTTTAGTTTTGATCACTGTAACTCCAGATTTGATCGCATGTCATTACATTTGAGCCAAGAAGCCAAATGTTATTTACAGTATATACTGTTTATGTTATCAAAACCACATGCACGGTTGGCCTTTTTATCACTTCTGTTCACAGAAGCATCTGTAACAACTCTTCAGAGGCAAACATGGGTCCACAACTTTTGTAATTTTTACATATAAGTTTGGTTGGAAAGACAGACAGATCTGCTCCTACTGGTGAGAAGGGAATTTCGTATGACTTCCAAAACAAAAGCAAAGCTTCTCTATATTTTAGTGACCGTTCAAGACTGTAACTTCAAGTAGCTTGCCAAAATGACAGTGTCTGTTTACATAATTCAGCATACCTTGTGAAGTGAATTTCTGCATCGTATCGCAGAGGAATTGATAAGGTGACCTGGTTGTCCGACTCTTGCTGTTCCTTACTTTCACTGTTCATCAAAACATATTTAAGTCAGGTCTAATAATATTGTTTTATACAAATAAGCTTTTAATACCTAAATTGCTTTAATATAATTAGGTACTTTACCTCCATGCATGAAAACTTAGAACTGCCACATTCTGAAGATTTTTAAGGTTAAAATCAAAGCTAATATCAAAGGATACCTATGGAAACGACAAGAAACACATAGTAAATGGGTTGGTACATCCAAGGGGCTTCCCAAAAGACATTATTCATGTGTGCAACAATCTAGAACTGCCCTTTGTATCTGAATTCTCTACAGATTCCTGTGTAATATTTCAGTAATTTCTTAATACTCAGAATTGATTTGTTCTTACATTCCCCTACAAGTTGGCATTCTAACATAAACAAGTTATTTGCACTTTGAAATTGTGTACAACTAGCTACAAGCTGCAACAAAAGGTGTTCACAATTCCTTCCTTTTAAACTCTAGCATTGACACAAATTTTGTATTCAATCTTTTCTTCCATTTGTTCCAGCAGGTCCACTTTGCGCAATTCCATCAACATTCAGAAAAAACCTATTATTTATTTATTTATTATTCTACGTGTCCTACCACAGAACATCATGTTTCTGTTCTTTCTAGCAAGTTTATTATTACTTTAGTTGATTATATTAGAGGCTAGGACCCTGTTTCTGCTCTGCCCTTGAGGAATAAGAGATTCCATAAAATATATACACACATATATATATATATATATATATATATATATATATACACACACAATTTATCTTAGGGCTGTGTGGGCCTCCCATCTCTTCCCAAAACAATACTGCTTTCTTGGAGGGATGAGATTCAAGGAGCAGGTGAGGGAGTTACCCCAGGGTCACACTGCAGGAGGGATTTGATGGGAATTGTGCTCAGTTCTTAGGAGCCTGCACATGATGCTCTATGCTTCTCTGCCCCCAGCTTTCATTCTCCAAAAGTTACATAACTGCAGGAGCATTTGGAAGCTATGGGTTGTGACAAATGAGCTTTGAGAGTCTTTTTTTCCCTTTAATCTGGCAGGGAGTCACAAATTTTAAGCCCTAGTTTGCTTCTTTTAATGCTTCTGTTATAAAATCTAAGAAATCCTTATCAGCAGTAAATGCAGAGTTAGGGAAAAACAACAGCAGGAAAGATTCTGTGTCTCATTCAAGGTTATTTAAACATGCCAGCTGTACCTGTTGTCCTGTTCTGAAAACAGGATAGCTTATTTGGCAAATGACTGTACTTTGCGCTGTTCCTGTTTGACACGAGACTTCAGTCCCATCACTCTGCAGAGAAAACAGACAGAAACACCATCTTGATATCAGGTTTTGATAAGGCAGAGAGGTGTGTACCTTCAGCAGCATATGTATTCAACTAAGGAGTGAAAACAGGTGTTATGGCAGTAAATCCTAGAGATGCAGGAGATGGTTGGGGCATAGGCAGGGCCAGGAGGAAGTCATAAGAAAGGTGGGACAAGTACCACTCCCATACAGCTTCTTGTAGGCTGTAATCATCTTTTTAGAACTTTGTGCTGAGCTTGGAAGAAGGAATACAGACCCAAGAGTGCACGTTAGCTCCAGCACTAATTTCTACAGTCCTTTTTTACAGAATTTTTACGGAACTTTTGCAGACATATTTACACAATCTTAGAGCTGGTTAAGTACTTTCACTATAGAATTTACTGTGCAAAGGGGAATTCCTTAGAGAAATCAAACTTTCTGTAGGAAAATCTGCCATGCATAATCATTTGTTTACTACTTTGCAGAATATTGGCTTGTCATCATCCTTGATTCAAAGACAAATTCACAGACCAGAGCCAGTTATCAACCCTTGGAGAAGTATAAATTAAAAAGCACTGTCTTTTCTAAAAAACATTCCTAGTAGACATTTACCATTCATGAACTGTGCTACAAAAAACCCTCAAAACAAAACCCCCCAAAAGGCCCATACATACTCAGTTTATGTTTTTCTTCCTGCCTTGAAGCAAGCACATTTTTGGTCTAAACTTCACTTGCAGGCTTAAGTGCTTCTAAGCAAAAGGGCTTTTAAAGCAAAAGAAAATTCTAGCTCCAGTGTGGTCTTTTGGCAGGAGTGAAATGAACAATCTTGCTGCACAACAGGATGGGGAGGTAGAGGGGCACCCCCAGTGCTGTGTGCAGTACTTATGCCAATTCATTGTTCAGAATAATGCTGCTCTTGGGCAGGAATGAATGCTATCCTTCCTCTCCCTTCAGTACAGGGATTGCTCTGGATTTCACCCCCAGGATTATCACGCACCTCTCCAGTAGGAGCTTGACCATATAAGCCAAGCACTGAAATCTGCATTTCATCCTTCGTGAATCAGGAGCAACAATTTAAATTATAGGCATACGGCATTCCCCAAAATAGTATGCATAATTCCTCTCTTTCCCCTTCTCTAAGATAAAATTTGTTGGAAGAAGAGCTTTTGGTATAGCAATCATGTCAATCTGATTAACTGTCTAGCTGGAACACATGGCCTTGGCAGTAACACTATATCTAGATCCCAAGTCTGTCTTTAAGGATTCATCATCAATGCTTCATGTCTGATTTATCAAATACAAATTCCCTGTGGCACAGCAACTGCTTCAGGCATCTTGCTGAGAGTTAAGAAGAAGATGTGGGTGCCAAGGCCTAAAGTGAGGAAAAGATGTCTGAGGTGAGGCCAAACTCGACAAGTTGCCAGCTTTTATGCTGAGTTGGAAATATCTTTCCTTGACCTAAATAAACTGATACGCCGGGGGAATAATTCTGCTATCCAAGAAAACAAATTATGAGAGAGTTTTGTACACACATTCTTTTCTGGAAGAGGCACTGCTAGAAAAAAAAAATAATTCTCTTGAGAACCTCAAAAATCAGGGGCAACAACAGAAATAGTAAAGTTGGGTATCACGCACCGGTAAAGAAGATGAAGCAAAAAACAGGTTGTCTGAAAATGTTGCCTGGATTCTGGTGTTATATGCATTTTCCTTTTTATTTCTCAATTTCACATTGAACGTTAGTCTTCTGGTTTTGCTGCTGACAATAAACTGTTGTTTGCTGTTAGAAAATAAAGTCCATTGTTGTAAATAGAGGTACTAGAACAGCTGTGGATCAGGAAAACGTGTTGCCTGAAGCCAACAACAAGTAACAAGCACAGCAAGACATTTCCTACATTGTACACACTTAAATGCTCTGCTTTCTAAACCCCTTGGCATTCTGTGATGGTGTTTCCTAAAACCAGACAGAATTATTGTCTTCCAAAAGTGCAGGACTTTGATTATGTGTTGTCAAAGTGACTTTGCTGAATTTTCAAGGGCTGTACCCTGGTGGGAAGGTGTACAGAGTAGGCAGCACATATGTACTTATCTCTGTGATGTAGATGTATGCATATATCAGACATGGACTTAGAATATATGCTGCCGAAATAGCTGACCACAGCTCTCCACTGGCACAGCTATTGCAGGATCCTCACTGCTCCCTGTAGGAGGGATGAAGACAGCTGCTGCAGCTGCTGCTGCTCTCCCACTGTTCTCCCTTTCCCAACAACATCCAGTCAGACACAATATGTCCAAATATTCACTATATCCACGTCTCTAAGGTACCAAAACTTGGGTTGGTCTAAGCTGACAAGAGTCCTAATGCTATGTTTGCGTTCCTATCCTACCTCTTTCTCCTTGATTACATTTAGGTTAAAATGCCATTGCTTTTTCTATCTGAGCTGTTTCTAAGTAGATGTTGAACTAGAAAGGCATTCTTAGAAATTCATTCAAAGCCTACAGACAAACCAACGGGTGAGAACACTGGACTCTAACAATTCCACTAATTCAGCTCTTACCCATCATCTGCCTTCCACTGAACATTCAGAGCAAGATCACAAATACAAAGTTCATCTTCACCACAGTCTTTAATAAAAGGAATCTAGGAAAAACAAAAACATTTCCTGAATGACAGGGCTCAACATTTAATATTATCTGAAGACACTAGAGTGCAAACACCTTCAATCTGAAGCACATTCTTAGTTTGCAGGTAAGAAAATCCCTCTGAAGGAGGTTAAAAATCTTGACAAATGAATGAGTGAACTGAATAATGTGTTGCTACATGTCAACATGATCCAAGAATGGTACAGACAGGTTACTCTTCAATGACAACAAAGGTGATGTAGTCAAATCAGTTCCATCTCTCTTTTATGTACCTTTTTATTGTAGAATAAACAGAAAGCATTCATCTTTGCCATCAACTAGAAGTTTACATCAACAATGATGTGGCTGAACTAACATGCTTGTTATGCTTCAGTGGCTGGTGTGTGTGTGTGTGAGCAAGCTCATGCAATACAGGCAAAGGTATTAAAACAACCAGGGGACATCCCTCCACGTGACCTACATGGAGCAGCAGTTTTCACTTCCATGTACCTTTTCAGTACTTGTGGGGGCCACCCATGACCCATGTGTGTAGTCATGCACTTCTGAGTAAAGCAGTAAAGCTGCATACTTACGCTATAGGCCACAGATGCTGGAGAAGATATGTCCAGGACAGGGCCGGAGCCAGGGTTTGCAAGGCCGATGTCAATGCGCAAACTAAGTGAATTCACTGCATCTGAAGGCTCCTGTAAAACACATGGTTCAGATGATGGCTGCCAGCACAGAAAACAGGGTAAAATTGATAATACCTCTTGTGAATTGAGAATGTGCAGTAAAATCATATTTGCTCTAAACAAGGAGAAGCAATATTTCAAAGCTTCATTTCTTAAAGAAAATAATTTTGCGAGATTGACTAGTGTGGGCTTCTCTAGATTAACAGTTTTCAATGTGATTTTCATGATAAAACTGATTTTTCTAGGATTACTGGAGACTGTACACATGACAGTAACTGCTAGGGCTAAGGAGCATGCATTTTGTCGGCAGCTGTATGAGCTGGTCCTCAAGGCCATCACCAGATAGCTTTCATTCTCATCTAGCTGCAGAAGTCAAATTCCTATTCCACTCTGCCTCACCATCACGAAGAGCATCTGGGTCTGAGTGATACTAAAATACAGTAAATGCCATGCCTCCTCTCTTTTTCAGTCCTGGATGAATCACCTTCTAGCCCTATGGCTCACCACTCCACATGGCACTAAATATGACTAATAGGTCACTGCAAACCAGAGCAGAGACAGAAGTCCTCTACCTGACCTAGCATCATGCAACAGGGCTTAAGGCAAGCCTCAGGGCTGTGTTCAGTCTTGTTTCTGGAGAAAAATGGAGGCCTCCTTACTTTTTATTAAATTCCTTGCTGTGTACCAGGGGTTAGAATACACCCGAAGTTCAAAGGGAAATTAAAATCTACTTAAACTATAGACCATGGGCTCTATATTACATCAAAGCTGAATAACACAATTAAAAACCCTCTTCCCTGTCCTAAAAATTTGTACTGAATGTGACAGTTACTACTTTCTATGAAATCATAACCTTATTAAGCATTTTTCAGCTGTGTGGATTTGGGAAATATAAGTAATTCAATAAACCATGCATGAAATTCAAATTACAGACAAAAAATCAATCCATGTCTTCCTCTGATCACTTTTGTTACGCAAGACTACTTGCAATTACACTTACTTGTACACTGAAGACATCATGAACACAATTCTCTTCTTGATGCACCACAAGATCCCTCTGCATGTACCTTTCATTATTTTCTTTGAAAAATCCTCTAGAAGTCACTCTGGAGAACTGCAGGTCTGCATCCAATGTTGCATTGTACTTTATATCTACAGGAAGAATAGCAGTTCATTTTTGACTGAGCATGGCTGCCCATGATCTCATTCCTATGCTCAATATTATAGGGACCAGGCTTTCCAAACCACACTAAATATTTCATGTTTTTCATAGCTAAACACAGAGCAGTTTCAAATTGAAAATACTTCCTCTTGTGTTTTCCAAAGCAGTCAAACAGGTTTAGGTCCTGATCTGCAAGGAGCACATTCATCAATCCAGCCTCCACTGCAGGAAGCCAGTCAGTAGGGCCAGGGTTACTCTAGATAAAGGGGCTTTTCAACAATATCACTGAACTCAGAGGTGACTTCAAAGAACCTGTGTCTTCTCTTCAATCACATATTTTCTGCCACCTTCTCTTTGTTTTATGACTAATATGTTATGGAAGTTCATTGTTATTTTATAGCTTAAAATCATGAGTTCCTAAAGGCACTTTATATAGCACTGAAGCAGTCCAACTGGTGTTATGTGTGAGACTTAAAAACTTCATGGAAGCCCACTGCTGGTCACAGAAATATTCACTGTCCTCTGAAAAGAAGAGATTCCTCCCACTGAAAACTCTGAGCTCTGAGCCTCTAGTAAATTCTTAATTTTCTTTTTCTGAAGAGAGAGGAAAATTATGCAGTCTGTTGTTGAAACCAGAAGGCTGGAAAAACCCAGCTCCTCACTAATGACATTTTTGGGGATTGCTGAACAACAAAGACACAGCTCTCTATACTGTTCATTCCCCACTTTTCAAACAGTATGGAGCCAGTGATGAATTAGGTCTTAAAAACAATTTCTCAAGCACTTAATTTTTACATTTATTTTGTGACTCTTGACATTCAATCTAATACATCTTTAGACTTTCCATTACTAATTTGAACAATGGACTTTTGAAGAAATTAATATAAAACAAATCATTGAAATACTCTTACCCACTTGATTATTTTTCTTAGCAGGTCTAAATGTAGCCTGAAAGCATATTTTGACAGTTATATCTGTATTCTTGTTCACCAGACTGATTTTCTCAGGTTTAAATGAAGCAATTATGGACACATTTGCAATGCCTCTTGACCTGAAAAATATATTTTACAAGTTACATGGAGTTTTGAAGAACACTGGGTAACATAGAAGCTGTTGTCTAATACTATCTGTAAATGTTAGTAATGATTTTTTTGGTTCCCAAGGTAAACTTCTTTTAATGGCACTGGTAAAATTTTTTCCTTAGGTATACATGAATTTGTTGATATTGTTGCTTACAGTAATAATAATACATACTTTCATGTCAAATTAATGGCTAATTGATGTCTTCATCCTATTGCTCTAATCAATCCCTCAAGGTATCAGAGAATGAAGCCCTTAGCCTACTTTACAAGTAAGTAACCTTCTGATCCTTTAGAGCTCTTCTGGGAAGGTGAGAACGGATAATTCTTCATTTTAATAATCTAATTTTTTGGAAAAACAACTTTCATGTAATTAATCAAGATTTTGAAGAACAGTTTCAAAGGAACCCTACATGTAAAAACAAACACTTTAATCATAACAAAATGCATTAATCAGCCCAAATGTCAGAGCGAAAAAAGAATGAGCATCTTCATTAATCAAATCTAAATAAATGCTGGTACTTCAAGGAGCATAATTTTTTTTAATGAAATTCCCAGCAGCAGCAGCAGTCAAAGGTCCAAACTGACCATTCATTTTTAATTATCTTGTTTCATTATGAAAGAAGTAGCAATTCAGTGATATTTTTCTTACAATGGGGAGCCTCAGGCATGAAGACAGGCAACAGATAGGAAAGGAAACAGCATTTGAATTTAGCTCCTCAAGCAAGGAGTGGAAATCACAGCCTACTTAGGCAGACAGATGATTTTGGTTCTGTGAAACCTTTTTGTATTTTGTGAAAGTACTCCAACTTCTGTGGCAAAGGCAATGTGCCATTAAAAATGTGTCTCTTCTCAGAATTAGGTGTCAACTCACTATTACTGCCCTCTTACCCTGCAGGACAACACTCCCCCCATATCAGCCAGTGAAGGTCATGGAGGTTGTGTGAGACATGGTTTCATCTGTCTCAGCTATCAAAATTATACTGTGGCTACTGAGGTACACAACCTGCTGCTACAAAGCCATCAAGCCCCATTCCCTGCTGCTGTCCCTTCCCTCTGGACTATGTATCTGGTCAGCAGAAGCAGGCAGATGTCTCCTGGCCCTCTCACTCCTGGTCAGGTCCCTCCCAGCAGGCTCTGCCACCTGGCTTTCTCCCACATGCCCTGGCTCTGCTCTGCATGCTGCCTTGGCTTTCATAATATACAAAAAAGAGATTAAAAGAGATTTAGTCTAAACTTTTTTTAGCTAGTTTTGATAGCAGTGATGAGGCAGTGTGTTAGTGTTGAACACATGGAACTAAAGAGCTTTTCAGTTTGATTATTTTCCTGTTTAATTAACTACATGTTCAATTGCTGCATCTGAATCACTGCTTCCTTTCTAAGAAAGAGTATACCAACCATAGCACAACCACATTTCCATCAGCACCAACTGATACGTCAGTAATGCCATCGTCATCTAAGTCTCTATGGCCATCTACTGATCTTCCAAAGAATTGGAGCTTTTGTCCAAAAGCAGAATCCGATCCTAAGATTTTCTGGGAAAGAGAGTTTGATTACTGAGTTAGCCAAAGCATGCTTAAGTCTGTAGATAGTAGCCTAATTAATAGATTTGCACTGATACTCCCGGTATATGCAATGTACTGTTTAAACACAATGCATTTGTGCGTGTTTTCTCAGATGCTTTTGTAGCACTTCTTTCTCCTCTGCTGGAGCAGACAAAGGACTAGATTTTTCTGTCTTGGGAGCAGATCAACTAACTGCTGTATGCCAGATACAGCTGGAAACTTTTTCCATCTCACATTGAGCAACTCAAAGAATATGAAGCTTAATAGGAGTTCTAACAAATACTTGCTGCAACCAGAAAATCTTCATGGAAAGTGATAACAACATTACCAATATAGTATATATGAAGACCAGTGAAAGACTTCCCCTTTAATACTGTGTATTTGTAATTTGCACAGCTGGGATGCATCAGCTCTAAAAACCTGACAATAATGGGTGTCTAACACTTTTAGGACTTTAGGCATTAGGACTTGGGTATTAAAAATGGCTCACAATGAGCATCTTGCACATGTTTTTCCTCTGTATGGTTCACCACAACATCAACCTGGACATGCTGACAGCTGAAGGAAGGAGAGGCACAAAATGTGAAAGCATGAGAATAACAGTACTCCTTTAAGAGATTTAAACAGTAGCAAATTAAAATACAGAAATCCTTTTTTTTATTCCTCTTGGAGATTTAAGAGCACCAAGTACAGCATTATGCAACGCAGTTATTTACCTGAGAATATTTGGTACGTATAGTCTTTTGAAATCCATTATATATGTAAATTGCTCCAGAGTTTTGGTTTTCCAGTGGTGCACCTATTACAACATCATTAAAGCCATCCAAATCAATGTCTGCAAGTGCTGCAATTGCTGATCCAAAGCGTGCATTTTCTGACCCCTGTGGACCTTCCAAGAGTTCTTGTTGATCCAAGATTCTCTTTAAAAATTGAAAAATAAGAAAAAGCAGAAACGCAGCTATCATTGCACCAGATTAGACATAGAAGCAGTATCTATGTGCATTGTTTTTTGTTTCTGTTTTCCAGTACATTCCCCTCAGACAGCTCAACATTGAATTCCTTCCCCATTGTATTGCCCATTCAGTTTGCATTATGTCTCAAAGTCTTGGCAAGAATTACACAGCAAAATCAAAGCATGCTATGCAAAGTACTAGCAGCAAATATAACCATATGTATGAAGCTTAAATGCCCTCTCTGTCCTCATATGACTGTTCTGAAGTTTCACAATACATTGAAAAATACAGTTTCCAGTTTTGGATTCCTGGTTTTTATGCAGAGGGAATGGAAATTATGTAACTGGACATAATTATTTGAAACAGAAATGGAATTTCCTTACTAAACTAATGCAAAAAACATGTGTCCAAATGGTAAACTCCTGACCTCTCCAATGCCAATGAAGAAAGAAAGATTGGAGATCTTCATAGTTAAATAATCCCATTTACACTAGAAGAAATGCAACTCTGGCAAATAGCATTCTCAGCTTTAACCTCAGTTATCACACCGTGCTTAAAATTTTAGAAATAACAGCCAAGTTATTCATTAAAAATGACTAGAAAAGTATTACTTGCGCAATGAGGACAACTTGCATGAATCCAGATTCTTTCAAAAAAATATGAAAAGTGTCTTTCATTATTCTTTCTTATTTAAAATTTAAATAATTTTTTAACCAAACATTTGATAACAACTAAAAATTGTAAGATAGCCTTCCAATTTATTTTGTTTCCAAAAGAAAATAATAAAAAAAAAAGTCCTTTCTTTTCTTTTTTCTTCCATATCTCATATCTGATACCACAGGCAAAAAGACCAATGTCAGCTGCCAACTTTCAGCACCTCCATCTACGTTGAAATTGTTTTAGGGTAGTTCCTGTTGCTTCAGGATACTCTGACTGAGGTCCTGATGAGGAGAATTGTTCTTCCTCTCTATTTACTTGATTGCAAGTTACCTAGCAAAGAGACCATTTTCTGTTTTTTCTGATGGATGTCGGATATTAATTTACTTTGCAGACATCCATTGAATGAAAGACTGTCCAAAAATGCCAAATGACTCAGTATGGTTGCTGCATATATTCTGAAAATAGCTACTTACAGGTCTGAATAAAAAGGACTGTCAGGTCAAGCATCAGACAAATAACTAAGCTTTACTGAATAGAGGGTACAACAAGAGTTATGGTAACCATCCAGTGTCAGAATCTATAAAACAATGCAGAAAGCTGGCAGAAGGGCACTTCCTAGAACTGCTTCAGGAATACTGTCAGGCATTGAATACGTTCACCATAAACAAATGGCAAATTAATTAGCAAAAGCCTTGAGCTAGGTTTTTCAGAGATACAGTCAAGCCATGCTATATTAGCATGAAGCACATTGCCTGACATCAGGACCAGGGAGACACTGAGAGCACCAGGTCCATGACCACTGATAGTGCTTAGCTACTGCCTTGCTCATTGGCCCCATTTTGGTCTGTTCCAGCTGCCTAGCTCCCAGATTACATGCACAAGTAGTTCTGGGGCAAGTTTGCAGCTGCTACTGAAAAGCAGAAGACATAATTCAGCATTGGAAAGGCCTCCACACACAGACTTCTAACCAGGAAGGCTTCACACCATTCATCCCTGCCCTTATGCCACAACCCAAGAAAAGCATGTGCTCTGTTTCTTGTTAAAAAAAAAGTCACTTGAAATATTCTAACACTTTGAAAAGATTCACTAAATAGTGTCTTTGAGGATCTGCAGAGGCCAAAGGGCATTTGACATGCATGTGGCAAATCAGATTTGAAAGAAATTAGCCCTAAGCAATGTGGGCTTGAGCTGTTTTTACCTTTGTGATGGAAAACATATATACTCTCCCTTCTTCTTTCTTCAGGTCGTTCATAAACATTGGTGCACCCACAAGCAGCACATCTGTCACAGAATCCCTGTTGACATCCACTGAACATACCACACTGCCAAAGTAGGAGCCAATCTGAAATCAGAAGTAAATGGGTTGTCACTGTAGATGGTTTTTGTAAATCATGTTTTAGCACCTGATTCAGAAAACTTACATCCAGTAAAACTGCAATACTACTCAATGTTGATGAATTAAATTACTCTGAACATGCTCCATTGTTGGAAAAATCATATCCTTACACATATTTCACTGTTTCTGTCTCATAGTCGTTGCTATAGCTTTACCACTCAGCAATGCAAATGCCAACAGAAAGGAAGATATTTTTTATAGCTGCACATGAAACTACCCAGCCTATGATCTACTCTCAGACTTGTCTTACAGATGATACCAAAACCAATTAGTCATTCCTCTTTTCCAGAGGAAAAGAGATTGAGCTTCCAGATCTGTCTTCGGATGTCATCTACTTCATAACCTCTCAGGCAGAGCAGAATTTACTGAGTCTCTTCCCATTTTAATTGCTTACTAAAGGATACATTAGTTAGGTTTGTATATGATCTTTTACCACTAATTGGATGACTTCCTAAAATACTGTGTAAGAGTTACAGCTAACCTCATTGAAATAGTCTAGGAGCAGAGAAAAGTTCAAGTGGGTTCTAAATGCTTTGAGAAAAAGAGGAATTTTCAAAACAAATTGCAATTTACTGCTGGGTCAATAAAAACAGATTCCTGAAAGTCTGTATTCATGACCAAAATATACTTGCCTGCTCCCCTCTCTGTGACTGCACAATTGCAATGTTACCATCACTATCAACATCATAAACCACCACTCTGCCAGTATAGTTGGATCTTGGTGCACCAGCAACAAAATAGACAGAGCTCATAGTTGAGAGAACAGCAACAGAATAACCTGGGGATAGAAGCCAACATTTAACATATGTGAGCGACCATTAATTACAATTTATCAGTTGGTTATCCATAAAGGCACAGAGAATGAGTCAATCTGGTATGTTAATTGCAGAGAGCGACGATTCCAGATGGGAAGTTATGCTGTCACAGATGCATTAAATTTGCAATATTCTCCTGGAGAGAACAATGACACACAGATCAAGTTGAGGCAGGTTTACAGAATAACATGTACAATAGCTTAGCCTATTCAGTAAAATGTAGACCACAAAAATGTTATGCTTGTGAAGAAGACAGGGAAAAAACGTGCAATGAGCAACGAGTATGCTTGGAAAGAAGAAATAAAGAGAAATATGAGATGAACGACTGGATCAGTCTTCAAACTAGGGAGGAACACCTAGCTTCTGCAAAGTTTGCACTGCATTTTCCCACAGCTCACCAAACCACAGACCAGTGGTTTGTCTGAGTAGAAGAGGCCACATTAACAGCTTGTCAGCTGAAGGGTTGACTGAACTTCTTTGAACATTTTAATCCTCATTACCATTATTCTAGCATTTATTTGATTTCAGGAAACATCGTTTAATACCTGCAAAAATGTTAACATGTATTAGCAGTATAAATCTAGCATTAGTACATACTTTAGATTTCTGTGGTTTAGTTCCAGATACTTTATTTTAAGCAGAGAAAACAAAGTCATCCTTTATAAAGTCTATAGCTAAACTCAACAACAAAATGCCAGTGATGGGACAGAAAACACAGATCTTTAGCCAGCTACAGAACAATATGAGGAACAGAGACTAAAAGGAATACAGCCTTGATCTTTATATCATACCCATCTAATCTGGATTTTTTGTTCAGACACAGGCTGAGAACAACTTTTGTTCTTTATGACTGGAAGCAACAAAACAAGATTTTATTTTGCAAGTTAAGGACACACCTTCCTAATTAATACAGAATACAATCATTTGAAGTGAGTGGGTGCAATGCAGAACAGAGGCCAACTGAGCAGGCTGTGATGTTCTAGCAGCTCTTTTAACTTATGCTCCCCTAAGCTAGTAAAAGAGCTGGTATGGAGAGCTCCTACTGGAGTGGCAGTGGAAGGGAAATAAAGGGAGAGAAAAGGCAACAACATTGTTTCCTCCAGAAAGATTGAAGTAAATACACTAAAACTACCTTGTAGAGAAAAGAAATTACCTGAGCTTTATAAAATTATTAAGAAAAAGAAGTAAGAGAAAATCTGAAGAGGTCATACATGCAAAACAGCTACTGCTCATTTGGGTGGGTTTAGATTTATTAATTTTGTTGGATGCAAATAATGCTGAGCCATAGGGGGAAAAAAGAGTATGTTAGTTGCAAAGAGAGCATATTATTAAATAATTTCAAGAATGAGAAAGGTATAGATGCTTAATGTAGCAGCATTATTCAGGGATGAAACAGCAAAGCAGGTATTTTGAAGGTTTACAGAATACATTTCAATGAACTAAGAATACAGACTGACTGGCTTTATTGGTTCACAAAAAATGTCAAAAATACAAATGGAGTTTTAAAGTAAAATCTCTATTACAAATGGAGATTTAAAGTAAAATCTCTATTAAGTGGTAGCAATATTCAAAATCTATAATATAAACTGAACTGGAAAAGGCTAAGAAAACAGCAAGGACATGTGAAACAATAGAAAGTCAATCAGCTTCTCATCTACATCAAACTGGGGAAGAACACTCAAATATTTTAAGAGAAGCAAGTCATAATGATCAGTATGATTCACTAAGCAGCCTTCTAAAATCCTAGGATTTATTATGTCTCTGTGACTGTGCTAGTTTTGGCTAGAATACAGTTAACTTTCTTCACAGCAGCTGGTGTGGAGCTGTGATTTGGATTTATGCTGGAAACAGTGTTGATAACACAGAGATGTGTTAGTTACTGCTGAACAGTGCTCACACAGTGTCAAGGCCCTTTCTTCTCCTCACCCCACCAGCCAGGAGTCTGGGAAGGGTCACAAGGAGTTGGGAGGGGACACAGGCAGGGCAGCTGCCCACAAATGAATACACGAGTATCCCATTCCATGTGGTGGCATGCTCAGTGTACCAAGCTGGAGGAAGAAGGAGGGAGGAGATGTTTGGAGTGATGGTGTTTGTCTTCCTAAATCACAGCTGTGCGTGTTGGAGCCTTCTTGTCCTGGGGATGGCTGAACACCTGCCTGCCCGTGGAAAGTGGTGAATAAATCCCTTATTTTGCTTTGCTTGCATGCGTAACTTTCTCTGTGTCTCAACACAGGAGTTCACTCACTTTGACTCTTCCAACTCCTTCATTCTCACTCCCCTTAAGAGAAGTGACTGAGTGGTTGCTTGGCTGCCAGCTGGGGCTAAACCACAGCAGTGACAAAGACTGACTTTTTTTAATTTCAGCTAGACACTTTGATATTAGTGGAATTTAAAAAAACTGTCAAGTTTTTATTCAAAGAACTGTTGACCAGTAAAAAAATAATCTTTGATGAAAAATTCACATTCTCAAATAATTTCTTAACACACAAATCTGGCTAGAGGAGAACTTTCCAACTTCTTTAATATCTTAATCAATGTTTCATACATTTCCAGATGTGTATTTCAGCCCCTTACCTAGATAGGAGCTATGGTTTCTGTCCTGTAAAATCTTCTCAAACACATGGCTTGGAAAGGTGGTGACTCTGTCTGAAGATTCCTGAACTACTGTTCCACTCCAGTCATAGGCCCCAACTGCACCCAGCAGCAGAACATCCTTTAAAAAATAAAGTCTATTTTGAAAAAGCGTGAGCAAAGCTGAAGGTCCTATGCATAATTTCCTGCATCACTATGTTTAAGCCAGTGATGCAGACTAAAACCTGCAGGCAGCTGACTGGAGCTGCTCATAGCTGCTACTTACCTGCAGGACTTTATTGCCCTGTTAAGAGGGATTGTCACTTCTACTGCAAGAGGATAAGTGACTGCTTCAGGCACTGCAACTCATGATAAAATGGGTTTATTTAAAGACTGTGATAATTTCCTAAGTCTGTCCACGCTGGGGTTGGGCTTGCTAAATCCATGCTTTTTTGCACCCGTGATCCCCAGAAGACTGAGATCACACAAATGCAGTTGTACAAAAAAGCTAAAGCCCCTTTTCTTGACAACAGAAGTGCCAGTCACAGCACACGAAAGCTGATGTGAATAGATAAAGTTTTAATGCTTTACGTAAGGAGAAGCTCTTGAGAGAACACTTAAATCTAAAATCCAAATTAAAATGGCTTATACAGAGTACTTCATACAGAAACGATCTTATACTTGTACACAGAAAACAAACATAGTTCAGTTTATTCAAGTTATTAAAATCCTTCACCAAACTGAGACAGTTACAGAAAACTGCAATAAAATGAAATGTGTAATTTTCCTGAAAATTGTCCATACGTTTCCCTTTTTTTTTGCCATTTCTTAGCATCAACTGCTTTATAATTTAAAACTTCAATTTGTGCAAAAACAAAGGACTTATAAAAAATTATTTCGTGCATCTTTAAGAGCTATAAGAAAGAAACAAACAACCTTCTTGTATTTTCAATTGAAAGCTTATTGAACCACATTTGAATTTTACAAGGACTTATTTGATAATGTTAAAACTGATTAGCATTAAAATATATCTGATTTTTTTCTCTAATTTTTAAGTGAAATATGCTTTAAACAAATACTATTCATTTTATAATTTATAGAGGAATTATTTTCAGACTTGATTTATTTGTATTTTGTAGACTGCCTACCAGCTTTATAATATAGCTAGTCACAAACATGAAGGAATGAAACCTTTCCTGCTACATGAACTCAGAAATCACTGAAATCATTATATTAACACATCTCAAAATCAGTGCATGAAACAAACTATAATGCAGCTATATTTACTAATATAAATTCAAGTAAGAAATTTAAAAGGATAATTTGATATTCTTCCGCTTGTAAAAAGTTCTTAAAATTGGACATTGTGTTTTTATTTCTCTTTTCTTACACTCATGTGTACATTTACAACTATTTGTATCATTAAATAATTAATTAATTTAATTAATTAAATATTAATTCACGTACCTTTTTTTGTGAATAAGATGCACTGAAGCCCACCTGTGACATTTCCATTTGGAAAGTATCACCTTGATCAGTACCTGGTAAAACCGACACATATATATGGTTATCTCTATATAACCACACAAAACCCAGTCTTGCTGCCTCTGAGTATATAGGGGCTCTGTATATCAACCAATTTGGCTAGAGCATTATAAACAAATATTAGAACATTAAACATTAAAGCATTATAAAAAACCAGCGTTATATTACAAACAATGGAGATCAGAACTGGTTATCTGAAGAAAATTTGGAGGATTTAATGACAAATTGATAAGATGGAGCCATGAGCCATGCTGTAAGTCTCTTCCAAAAAGAGGGCAGAAGATGACGGTCAAGATGTTTTGAGTCAGTTTACACAGTCTTTCCACTGTGGTCTCTTTCTGTGTCTCTTAGGAAGCATTAATTAGCAGCTTTAATGACTCTATATCCACAACTTTCAAACAGAATAGGAATTTTTATTTTTGTATAGGACTTCTAAAAACGGTTGTAATTGTCTTGAAATACACTGTGACATCCATTTCCTAAGCTAGAGGGATGGGAATGCAGTGGGAGTACTCAGTAAAAAAACCTATTCCCTTGCTTTGCGTAGCAGCATGGGCCTAGCAAAGAATAAATGGAGGTGAAAGAGAAGGGGAGATTTCCTGAGCACAGGAAAGAGGCAGACATAAGCACCTTAGGGAGCTGAGAGCAGGCTACACATCTCTGAGGCGAGGTCTGAATTTAACTTAAATTTAAAAGCTGGCTTTGGGGACAGCCAAGGTATCTCTGTGTCACGTCTGTAACACCCTCCTCTGAGCAATACACAGGAGTGTGGATGGTGCTAGGGAGGGGGCCTGGAAAGCACCACACAAACTGCATTTTCATCTCTGTAATCAGTAACCCTGTCTTCTGGTTTATTTGGTTTTGTGTTGGAGGGTTTTTGGTTGGTATTTGGGTTTTTTTGTGGTTTTTCTTTTTTTTGTTTTGTTTTGTTTGTTTGTTATTCATTTTAAATGGCTTAGGATTCACACAGGTGAAGCTCACAAGCGTAAGAGACAGCTTTATTCTTCTGGTGGTAACAAATACATTTGGTTGCATATGGAAAAGCATGTCATGAAGCCCATGACATGAGAGGAATTTTCATCAGCTGGGGAATAAACTTCGTAAATTAGCTGAAAGCTCAGGATAATTAGGTGTGGAGTAGCTGGGGGAACACCTATGAAAACCAGAGCTTTCCTGGTGAGCAGACAGCAGCCTGCAGCTCCAGCTACCCTCATTTTCACAATACTGCACTAAACTGAAGCTAAATAAAATCCTAAATTCATCATCTGGGAGAATCTGATCTATTTTTTCAAAGACATTGAGTATTTTACCTTCTATACTAAAAATGCGCTCTCCAAGCGTTCCTGCTTCTTCCAGTAGTGCAGCCTCAGATGACACATTGAAGAAATACTTTTCTGTTGGGTGACTAGCAATCCCCTTGATTTCTTTAATTAAGTTTTTAGTATCAAGTTCATGCCTTATTAAGTATCCCAAAACCTTGTGTAAAGAAACAAACAAACAAATGGCAAAATAAGAAGAGAGAGATCATGGTGCTATTTGATTTCCTTCTGTACTATTTTAGCAAATATTCTACATATTAAAAAAAAAAGTTTCTTTTATTCATATTAATGAATTGCTTATAAGAGTTCATTCCTATGCAAGGGACCATTCATACAGGGAAAGTACATAAGGCCTGGCAAGGGAGAAAATCACTGAAGTTGCTCAGGCAATTCTAGTCTTGCTTTTTCAGCCAGTGAGAAGACCAGTATTTCCACCAGTTCAGAGGATTAATTTGACTTTGTTCCAGTCTCACCAGTGCAACAATGTGTGCATGACATACCACTTTTGTATAGAATATGCACTTTCCTACACACACAACAAAACAATCTTTCAAGCATGCAGTAATGTATAACTTTAGTTATTACTTACAGCAATGCCAAATCTGGTTATATTGTCTTCATTGCATTTACCTATCACTGTTTTCAAGTTGGAGCCATCGTGTGATTCACCGTCTGTCACAACAACCATGACTTTTGTGGCTGTTGGGCGTCCTCCTGCTTCAGCTGAGAAGGCATACTGTCTGTTATAAAACATTGGGTTTATCACACATCAATCCCTAATGGATGGAATCCAGTACATACACTGTAATGAATATGTCCATCAGTGAATTAGAACAAGTTGCTTCTGTAGTGCATAATAAAAGTAACCAAAGAAGCAGGAAAAAATACATAGGACTGGAAGGACTGGATGGTGTTTCTGATAGAAATGGAAATTCCAGGAAAATCAGTATTTTTGTTTTGTACAAATATTTCTAAATGAAATTGGGGTTTTATCAGAACTATTAAAATTTTATTACACCAGGAATTGGCATCACCAAGCTCAGATAAAAATGGAACAGAATTAATAATAGGCTTCTCAATACTACTGACTCGATTGAAGGCTGAGTCTGTTCCTAAACCAAATTCTCAAGTTCATTTGATTCAGTGTGTATTTTGGCCTAGAGTACTGTACTTGATTAAACTTCAAAACAGCATCTTCTTGTTAAGAAATGGACCTGGTTTGTGTAAGTGTTCAAAGTCATAAAACATTCGTTTGAATTTTCCCTATTTTTTCATACTCACGGCGCTGCAGTGACAAACTGGCAACAGACAAGATGCTTATTTTCTCTGCAATCAACCAAAGCCTGATCTGAAAACACCAACGTTATTGGGCCCACTGAATCCCTGGATAAACTTTACTTCTTTCAGTGGTTTTGTATCTTTCCTAAAATCTTGTCCACTCTGTTTGATGCACTGTTATATTTAGACATCTGTGTCATAACATGCAATTCTGTTGGGTTCCAGAATTCCTTTAGGGTGGAGTTCAACCCAATGGTTAACAACATGCTTTTCAGAAATTGTGGTTTACATATTCCTGTGCCAATCTGCATGGGACACTGTACGTGTACATGGATTCTACCTGGTGCTGGGAACATACTCCAGAGGCCATGGGCACATTGTCTTCCCGAGGGAATGAAATTCAAGATATTCTCATTGCCATGTAAGGTAAGTTACAACAGTTGCATAGTAAATCATCAATGCATCTCACCTTGCATTGTCAATGGCTTTGAAAGTATTAGTGAGATCTCCTCCCTTCTGAGACGTATTCTCCATTGCTCTAACGACCTCATCCTTTGTTTGATACGTATTCAAGTTGAAGACTACGCGGGGATCATTAGCGTACTGAATTAAACCCACCTATGCAATTAAAAAATTGGTGTTAGATAATGATGCTTTACAATTAGTTACATAGAATCATGATGCTTACTTATTCGTCAGGTTGGTGTAAAAGGTCTGCAGATGCATGGCTCTCTCTCAACACATATAAAACCAATTAATATTAACACATTTGAAAAGCAAAGAAAGCTAGAATGCTCTTGCACTTTATATCATTTGTTATGGACTACAATATGTTACTGCAAACAATCTGAAACAGTAGACATTAAATGTTTGCTTGGTTACTTCTGGAAGGGCTGATGGACAGCAATAATACAAGGAGCTCTGGGAAAAATGAGAAAATTGCAATAGTTCTACAAGCTGACAGCACCTCAGTCACCTCTTCTAAGGATGTTCTAAAGGTTAGTTACTTTACAGCACTGCAAACCCTACTTGTTTTTAATATAGGTGAAGCTGAAGATGTATGGTAAGATGTGCATTTAAAATGAAAGGAAAAAAGAGAAGATGCTAAAGGTGAAGTTCAGAAAGAACTGAGCAGGAAGCCTAGCTTTTAAGCACCTCACTTCCAAAGTAGCCCAAGGAAGAAGGCAGCCTTTGGGAGAGAGATTTCCAGTGCCCCAGTCTTTGTTCTCAGAACTGTTTAGGGAAAATGGACAACTGTAAAGACAGAAGATGTTTAAAACAAAAAAAAGGCAATAAAATTTTCCTTACCATCATCAAATAAAAAGGAAAAAACCCCTTAAAGATCTGTGAGTGAACCAGCAAGAAAAGCTCCTGTTTTGAAGATGCAGCAGGTGGAATGTAAGAGTTGCATGAAAAGCCCATTAAAAGTCTGTTCTACTTTTATCACATCCCCAAAGGCTATTTTCAACTACTTTTACATCTAATGCCTGAAAGATATCTGACTCCCCTAGATACAACATAGACTTCTATTTCAGATAATTTATATTTTGGATCAAATTACTAATCCCTTTTGAAATAGAATAACCATGAGATAAAATTCCCAAGACTGAATAGGATAACTGTGTAATCTGTGGCTTTGAGGGAGGCACTGTAGTTACATAAAATCACACTTGGTTTCGTTTAAAATTGGTTGGTTTAGGTTTTGTTTAGTTTGTATTTTTTTGGTCTTCCTCAAATATGTCTTTGACTTACCTGGGTTTTGTTAAGGCCTATGTCTAAGCCTTGTACAAATTTTTTCAAAAATGCCCGCACTGCATCCCAGGGATAAATGCTGTTTGACTCATCACAAACCACCACAACATCTATAACAGATGAACACTCTGAAACAAAAATTAGTAGTGAACATTAAATGCACTTGCAGACTCAGTATACTCTTTAGCTAAATCCAGAGGTGCATATTTAGGTCTCACAAAGGCAACACTTCAGATCAGAAGGCTTTACCAGAAAGAGGACTCAACAGGTGTATATGCAGGTTTTAACCCTGCACTGGTGCAATGCTTCTGAATACAGGGGATTAAGACCATATTTACATCAGCATCAGATCACAGTTTGTCAGTCTTTATGTCTTTATCCTGAAACTTCTTTTTTGGCACAAACATTTTTTTAAGAAATCAAAAATAACAGTTCACAATACAGTATCTGTTGATTTTGTTTGATATGTTTGGTTTGTTGTTTATTTTTTTTAAATTGAATCAGTTTTGCACATGTTGCCTTACTTTGAACAGCAGGAGAAAAGCTTCTTAAGATCTCGAAACTTGGACTGATTTCAGAACAAACTCCTGTTGCATAGTATTGTCTTCCACACTGCTGTGCCCACAAGGGACCACAAGTCTTAAAAAATAACAACAAAAAGAAACTATAAAAATTACAATACTTTTCTCACCATATCTATACACAAAACCATCACAAGCAGGACGACAGGCATATAGAATCAGCGAAGCCCTCTGGGCTTATCGGGCCAAATCCCTTCAGTCAGGGTCCCCCCTCTCACCCAGGAATTCCGGCGGGCGCTGCACTGCTCCCACTGCAGTGTCACCGCCGGACGGCAGGTGGCGACAGCGCTCCGGACACGGGCCCGGGGGACGGCAGTGACCGGAGCGGGGACAGTGAGTGACCGGAGAGGGGTCAGTGAGTGACCGGAGAGGGGACAGTGAGTGACCGGAGAGGGGACAGTGACCGGAGAGGGGACAGTGACCGGAGAGGGGACAATGAGTGACCGGAGAGGGGACAGTGAGTGACCGGGGCGGGGTCAGTGACCGGAGCGGGGTCAGTGAGTGACCAGAGCGAGGGCAATGACCAGAGCAGGTGTCAGTGAGTGACTGGACCGGGGTCAGTGACCGGAGAGGGGGCAGTGACCGGAGCGGGGTCAGTGACCGGAGCGGGGTCAGTGACCGGAGAGGGGACAGTGACCGGAGCGGGGTCAGTGACCGGAGCGGGGGCACAGACAGCTCGGACCCATCCGAAGGGCTCGTCCCAGCGGGAATTCACCTGGCATCTACAGGGTAAATTGCAGCATCTCCCGACCCGCAGGGAGCACTGTCCTGTTCAGCTACACCAGCGGGACAGATCGCCCCTGGCCGCATCCCCCCCACCCCCCGGCTAGGCGTTTCGTGGCCTTTGGGGGAAAAGGACCCTGCCTCGCTGCTGAAAACAATCTCTGTAAAAAGAAGCATTTTCAGCTGGATCAGCCAGCTGTTATTTACGTCTTTATACAACTTTATATGCACTCACATCAACCACATATTAAGACAGTATTTTGCCGTGAGAATATAGGGGGAGTTGTGTGTGTGTGTGGGTTGAGGTGGCGAGTTGGTGGGTGTATTTCCTTCTCAAAAGAAAACATTGGAAACTCGAGGAAATAAATATAACCTCTACATAACCTCTCTCCAACCGTTCTGTGAGAAATTATAGTTTCCATATATATATATATATATATATATACACACACACACACACACACTCTGCTTGCACCTACCTCTATTAGGAAAAGAGAGATTATTACACTTTTCTCAAGAATACTGGAGGGCAGAAAAAGGTAATTAAATTCAAAAGTAAATGGAAAATGAGCTAAATCACCCACTGGTTTCCCAGTAAGAGACAACATCAAACTATCCAAAGATATTTGACCAGATGGTGGATTTTCTAGATGAGAAAGGAAGTATATCCACATTATCTGATCTTGAGATAAGTGCTTTTTTAAGCTGCTACATGGGCCATAGTTAGTTCTAACTGAAAAAGACAGATTTTTAGAGAGATGAACGGTATAAAATAAATCATCTATATGAAGCTGGAGGAGGGTTACAGGCCTTTAATTTAAAGTTCATTTTACTTCAGTCTTATTCCCCAGTTTTCAAACCTGTTTTCTGTATTGCTGGTAGTTCAAAACTGTGATGTTAATCTCGGAGCAAAAAGCAGAAGTTTTCTAATAATCTTTGTTGATCTTCAGAGATTAAAAAAAAAAAAGGAAAACAAATGTTCTAGCATTGCTTTAGTCAGAAATTTAAGATGTGTCATTACTGAAGGGGAGATCACATATCAAGCACAGATGAACTTGAAAGGCAGAATGCTATAAAGGGATGTAGACTTGCCCTTCAGGACTAATGTTAAAAAATGTGGACATAAACTGTAAGGTCATTGAATGGATGGGGGAGAAGCAGATGGATCAGGCACTGGATGACTGCAAGGTGACTGCAAGCATGCAGCCAGCATGCAAAGCAAATACAGCTTAAAGATGTGTGATGAGAAGCTGTTAAATTGGGGAAATACCAAACACACTGTATAGTGCCTGGGAAAGACTCACGTGGAATACAACATAGACCCGGTCACTGATGTTTGAAAGAAGTGTATTTTAAAAAGAACATTTCAGCCAAAAACCTCTGTATTGGTTTAGGAAGGCAAAGGAGAATGGTGGTTGTGGGATATCAAACAGAGAAGGGAGATTTTACATGCAGGGAGATGAGAGCTGCTTCTTTCAACTAAAGGCACAGCACTGCCCAGTGAACAAACTGATAAAAGTTTATATGGGAAATCCAGAAAAACCTTCTTAACCATCAGTGAAATTCTTCAGCACCTCTCCAACAGGACTAAGCACGCCACAGAAAAACGTAATGAGCACGTGGGAAATGACTGCCCTGCACTTGGAATACCTGTGGGAAGCAATCCCCTGGCATCAAACAGCCGAAGCAGCAGGACTCAGGACTGCAGCACAGACATGCCAGCCTGGGTCACGCTCCCAAGCCAAGGAGCCCAGGGAGCACAGACTGCACGCAGCACAGACTGGGACAGGCAGATGGAGCCGGAGAGGGGCCACAGGAGGAAGGAGAGCAGTGAGCTGGGAGGAGGAAACCCTGAAATAACTCAGAGAGCCCATCACGGAGGCCAGCTGCCACAGAGACTCTGAGCAAACTCCTGGCTGGAGGCAGCTTGCAAATACGAGCAGGCAGTCCACACATGGGGTTCAGTACCTGCCACAACTCAGTCATGGGGCTTTTGGTATTTGTTGAGGCTGACTCACAGATAAGCACCTGTCTCCAGTACCTCATTCTTCCTATGCCAAAAAAAGAGCTCCTGTTGATGAAGACGTGGCTGTTTATGTCTTAGAATTCAACCCGGCTTTTTATGTTTTTTTCTTTTTAAATCCATGCAATTTGAGGAGAATCAATCAATAACATGTGGATCAGGAAATACTTTTTAACTGAGAATTGTTAAAATGTTATTAGAAAATACAGATTTCCCTGCATGAGGTATTTTAAAATACTGCAGTTACTCATACTGATTAAAACTGGGTATGCATAGGACATTAACAGTAATTGAAAGTATTATTCAAGAGTGAGAATAAGATTTTTTTAATCAAAGCCTTTTCAAGCCACAAAAGCCAAGAAAATTACTGTTGCTGTATTTTGAAGTTATGAGTAATTTTACTAATTCCATGAGAACTGCTGGAAAGGTTGGAATTAGGCATTCTTTTAAGTACTTCAGTAAACTGAGCTACCTGCTAATGAATATAGTAAATACTTGAATACTTTTGTGATTACTAGGAAGATGCAACAAAAAAATACAAAGGTTAAGGACAGCCTAGAGCTCTTCTCTCTGTGATTTATTGTTTTACTTACTGCACATGGCTACATCAAACTGAGATACACCTACACAGCAACAATTTTCATGTTTATGATAAGATCATAAAAAAGCACATTAAAACAGACATTCACTTCCTTTTGAGTAAGAATGCTATTTTGCAGGCTGCAAGGACAGTGGTTTGTGGAATATACACTGAGAAAATCCATACTCTTCCAAGCTCACTAGCCAAATAAAACACATCACAAATCCAAGAGACTAGAAATACTGATATATCAGGAGAACAGTGCCTGTGCAAGTGTGAATGACAGAGGAAAGACTATATAAAGACTTTTGAAAGCACAATCAGAACTATACAAGGCTGCCTTAAACAATTTAATGGTGGAAATATTCTTGCCTATATTGTCTGACTTAATTTACTGAGACATTAATAAGATGTTTAGATCAACAACAAAGGAGAGACTTCACCATTTTCCTGTATTAATGATACATTTCACAACTGATTTTTTACCACAGGTAATTGCACTGGGATGTACCAATCCATGCTGCATAATAAAATACATTTAGCTTGGACTTATGAAAAAATGTGGAGAATTCTGGTTTCTCAATTCTCCTCAGCAGTTTCTGTGTGTCCTGCTTATGATCTTGATACATACCAAAAATCCTCCAGTTTTTGAGTTCTGTATCAGAGTCAAGCCAAGGTTCATGTCCTCTTTAATTTCAGTCACATTTGGAATATTTATTAAAGCTGAAATAAAATTAGATTAAGTAATGACAGAATAATAAATAAGATGTAGAAGCAATTTACTACATTAGAATTCCTTTCATAAAAACTTGATTTTTCAGAATGTAAGGCACCTTTTCCAAGTAGCTGCATACAATTCTGAGACAAAAGAAACAAAAGCCAATCTTAGGGGGGAAAAAATTGCTAAGCATTAAATATAGACAACAATTAAGTATGGCCATTCAAAGTATCTGCCCTCAAGAGAGCTGAAGGCAAAAGAGAGGAAGAAATAATCTACCTATTGAATTTTTTGGCTGGCTGAGTAGCTACAGCTGAGTAGCTACTGTTACATTCCTCAGGACACCAGACTCCTCTGATCCAGTATCAGGCTCTAGACAAAAAAGCTGGAAGGGGCAGCGGCGGGCAGAAATGCATACAAATAAACATAAAGGAGGCATCTCAGCACACCCTGCTGCCTCATATTTTCATTGTATCCAAACCTGAACTCCATTTTATAGTTAGTTTGCAAATAGACACACCCATACCTGGTTTAGGGGACGATAGAGACAGGCATCCCCCACCAGCCACCTGCCCCTGGATGTCTGCACCTGCCAGCCACTGGTTTAGGGCCCCAGTTCCTGCCCCTTGGCTGGAGGCTGAAGAGCCCAGGTGCTCCAGAGGGTGACACTGAGACCCCAGTGCCTCCAGCAGCTGGCACCACCTGGCCTGAGCCCAGTGGCAGGCACCAGTTTCTGCTCAGTCAGACACGCCTCGTCAGCAGTGCGGCCTTGCAGCACACACACACCTCCAGAGAATCTGGGATTATGCAGATAACTAGTTAAGAAAAGTTTTAATAAGGCCTTGTGCAAAGACAAGGGAAAACTAAACAAGTGCAGCACGACATTGTTAGTTAGAACATACCTTGTAAATTCAATTTTTTACATGTGTTTTTCGACACACCAACAGGACATGCATATATATCTCCAGTTCTGTTAGCAGGATAGCCACTCCAGGGTGAACCAACCAACAACCTAAAGGAAAAGGAACTTCATTAGGTCCTTAACAATACTGAAAAAGTTCAGCAGCAGCATTGCATGGCACATTTCACAAGATATAGCACCCAAGGCATCCAGGTGTAGGAGTCTTTCCCAGAACTGCTCAGAAGCTTTACCTTCAGGTCAGTACACTGCACTGGATTCACCAGGGGCAGCTTTGGTGGAGAAGAGAAATGTGAGAGCCTTTGGGAATACAGCTACCTCCAACACATGCACTGTTTTTAATGTGACATTATGTCACAGGTCAGTGAAGGTACTAAGAGATATGGATACATAAAAATTTAGAAATATTTATGTTGGGGATTGAGAGACATTATTACTTATCATTCTATCAGTTAATGGTTAACTCATTCCTTTTAGGTTATTCTTTTAACAGATAAGAAACATTTTCTACAGGATCTGCTCAGCAACAATCAAACACTTATGCCTGAGCTTGAGCACTACCACACCTAGATAACACTGAGTCATTAAGAAAATACTGGAGGTAGTAACAATGTGCTGCATAAGGTCTGGAATCCTGAACAAGAAAGTTAAAACTTATGATAATTTTGCCTGCAACACAAAGTGATTCATGTCCTCTGACTCATTTTTTCATCTGCCATAAGGTTTCCCCCCAACATCTGCTCTCCAAGATTATTTTCATTTTTATCTGAAGGGTTATTAAAAATAAAACAGATTATTGAAAAGCAGGGACTATGAGTATTTACTTCAGCAGCAATATGACTTTGTTTTCAAACAGAACAATCCACGGTAGTAATTAATACCTTTTGGAGACTGTGGGAAGACAAGCAATGTCTTCCCCAGTACAGAATATTGAGCTCCATTAGAAACAACTTTTTGTTAGTTGGTCAACAGGTTTTTTAAAGCAAAATTGCTATTATCTAAAATTTTATAGGCAGCTAACACAAATATATCTTGCACTTTAAGAAAAGAAAGTGAAATTATATTTCAAAGCAATTTCTATATATCATATTAACGTTCTAGGGACCATCTGATTTTAGTGCTGTGATGTTATTACAAGTTTGAATAAAATGGTTATGACAAAAAAAGAGTTTTAGATGCACAAGAAAGAGTCTTAGACCATTCTTGCTTGCTCAGAGAAAATAATGCTAACTGCATTTTCTTTTTTAAGTTTATTTCACCTCAATTAAACACAAATTACATTATTTTATCGGTTCATCTGAGGGTCTGGTTTCAGATTCTCTTTCTTGTGAGTCTGGATATTTTAAGGATGCCTAACTCCTTCTCAATTTCCTTGTTGGAAAAGAGTGATCACAAAGGCAGCAGGAACAGAACTTCGTGCACTTGCAGCGTCTCCAAATGTGCAACTTAGGTTCATATAAATGCCTCTAACAAAGCAACACACATTGCAGTAGCTGTGAGGAGGCCTCTGATTTTCTTGTTATTTTATGAGTGTTTCTGGGACTTTTCAGCACAGTGGAAAAAAGAACTGCCACAACTCAGCACCAAATAAACAGAGCTCATAAGCAACTACTGCAGTGGTCATGTGCCAGCAGATAACATAATCTGCAGATACTTGCAGTGACACAGAGGGCTGGAGCTGGTCAATAGGGGGAGGAAGGAGGAAGAGGAACAGGAGGAAGACAGGGTGTTACACTCTCCCACCTTGCTAGGTACTACTGAATTTGGTACAGCTGTAAAATGCTAACTGGGCTGATGGGAAAGAAGGGATAGGAGTTTTTGTGGAAACAGGAAATGGTTTTAAAATGGAAGGCAACACTGTCTGTGCAATATCTGAAACTGGAACAGCTTTCCAGCATTAACTGTCAAACTGAACATTGCTCTGTGTACATTAATAAACACTTGTATCCTTTTTTCTAAGTTTCCCAGAAGGCAAACATATTTCAGAGTCCTTGCAGGATGACAGCTGCTGTTCAGAGAATGTATCTTGGAAATACCTTGTATCTTGGAAATACCCCCTGCAACCACTCCCATCTGGTCATGAAACTCACTGTGAACCTCTGTGTCCTCCTGGCACCACTCTGCAGCCACAGGTCTTCCTGAGGCCCAGACCACACACTTCCACTCACAAGAAGAGTGAGTGAGAAGGAAAAGAGGAACAGAAGCATGTTTGAGCACTAGCTGACCCCAAATCCAACTCCAACTAACTCCAAGCTCCACCCCTGCTACTGACGTAGAGACAAGCCTCATCCTCGCTTTAGCGTTTGCTAAACGCGTTCTCTCCTTTTCAGTATGCATACTTTTGCTCATTCCATGGGTATTATTTGCCTCCCATTTTCCCTGCTCTCAGCAATAACTGCAATCCAGACACCTGCTTATACCAAAGAACCATCACTTCTAAAACTTAATATTCACAAGATAATTTTACTTTTACTACCCCTGGAACTAACCTTGGAGCTGCTGCATGATATGAACAGCAGATGAAGCAAGACAAACTTTTCTCATTTCTCATAGTTTACTGGGACTTATTTTATTAACTTATTTTTCCATATTCCTTGAAGATGTCATATCTACATTGCAGGCAAAAAAATACCACTCCATACACAGAATTCACACTTAGAACTAACTGTTACTAATGGTGATTTTCAGAAATGAACAGAGCTATTAAACCCATTCCATTATTTGACTTAACTAGTCTAACCTGTCATAAATATATGCCTGAGAAAAAAATATTAACTGACTTATGCTAAGCTTAGCCCTCTATTTTTAATTGCCAGCCTTAAAGGCTCTAGGAAATAACATAATTTCTAATTCTTTCATATTCTTTGCCTTATGTAAAACACCAGCCTTAATCTATGTACAAAATCAGAAATCTACTTGCCTTTCAAAATTAACATAAACCATTACAGTAGGGAGTTACACCACATTGCTCTGGGGAAAAGCATATGGATCCTTCTGAAACATCAGAAGTGAAGACAGCAAGGGAGTATCTGGCTAGCATCCTGCCAACCACAATTTTTTTTTTTTTTACTGTAATTAGACAGGATGCATGAGACAAAGTGAAACAGAATATATCAGGAAAGTATGCAAGAAAGTAGTACTAAAATACTCGAGAATGTTTGTTTCCAAATAAACTGTATCATGCACAATGTATTAATTAAGGCTCCTTTTCAGCCATGACTTCAATGCTTAGTTTTACAAAACTTCTTTACATGTCCTTGCAGATGGTCTTTACAAAATACTATAGAGAGCAGAATTATATATAATTATAATAAAGTAATATTACTACTGATGTTGATGTTTTTATTTGTCTCCATAATCATTCTCCAACACTGTATACAAAGCAAAGGCACTAGGAAGTCAAATGAAGTTCAGCAGCAATGCCTTACCACACAAGCTGCAGGAGTGGCAGATCAAAGTGCAACAGGAATTATTTCTGGGAAATTACACCATGACAAAGCTAGTAATCAGCAAACTGTGATGTAGCAGAAAGCAAAATCAGAATTCACAGCAAAGGGCTGAATTCCCAGCTGTCGCCAGAGAATGTTTTCTATTTTCTGCCTTCTTTCTTTTTTTTTTCCTCTCTTTCCATGTATTTGCTTTTTATTGCGTTGTGTTTTGTTTTGTTTTCTAAACACAAAGATGGCTTATAGGAAAATAAAAGTAGAAAGAACCTCCTCTTAGACCATCTGGCCTTTTTCCCTGCAATTACAGGAAGTGGTGAGTACATATGAAGACCAGAAAACTCTTCATGCTCATAGATGCTTCTCTGCACACACTAAAATTCTTCTCACCATCTAAAACTTTTGATCCTTTCAACAATAACCAGGAGTTCAAAAACTACAGCGAGCTATGGCAAGACAGTTTGAGTGACAAACTCAGAAGCCATAGAAAAAAGCAGCCAAAGCTTCTCCAAGCATGAAAAGGCCAAACTGTGGTTCATGCAGTCAGGGAAAACAAAACTGGGTAAAGAACTCAGCATTAACAGTGGTTCTGGCACTGAAAAGGCAGAGCTGCAACAATGGCAGCTTCTGTTATGAAAAAAAAAAATAATCAGAAAAATTATCCTCCTCAAAAATGGCCTTCCTCATTAAAATCAGAAAGCTTTGAAATGTACTGATTTCAATTGAACTTCATACAGAAATATATGAAGTCTTTTGATAAATGTCTTTTTGGCAAAATATCTTGTTGGTCTAAAGAGGTAGCACAGAACTTCAGAAGACAGGCCACTATATTTGGTGACCAGTGAGCAGTAGGCAATGGTTTTTAAAACTACTTTTGGTAGTGCAATAATTATGTGATATACCAATACGTGCACTTCACTGTGCTCACATTACTGACATGTGAGATGAAACAAAATATATTCAGACAGAAAAATCCCACAATATAAATTCAAAACCAAAAATAATTTTTAAAATTGCAAATTCTAAGCACACAGACACAGCTGAGCATGTGTATGAAGATGCACGTGTGTAGGTAAAAGCATTTTAACAGCTATCTACAACTATTTCAATCTTCCTCACCTGAGACAGCTATAAAACCAACTGTCAGCATGGAGTAAGTACTGTTATCTCTGAAGAATGTACTGTTAGCTGCTGCTCAAGGAATGCACACTCAAGATGAACTTGACAGGGTACAATTTGGCTTTCTAAAGGATTATGTTTATAAAGCAACAGAAACTTTAGTCTAAATTTAAGATTCCAATGCAGATGACTTCTTGACAGCGAGAACAACAGCATAAAGTGAATTATGTTTCTGTGGTGGCTAATTACTTGTATGGTGAACTGCTTTTCTAATTGATAAGTTTCACTGGTATTCACAATTTTCCTCAAGTTCATTAAAGGGCTCCCATTTTAAAATTCCCACCAGACACTGTGAAAAGCTTGAGATGTGCTTGATTTGCAAGTTTGTCCTTATATATGAGCATCACACACCATCAAGGCTCATCAATGCACAGTGGACCAGTGCCCAATTATCCTGGATCGTCTAACACAAAGAAGTCTTCCTCAGTGTTTTGTGTCACAGCGTCCTAACACGTACCAGACTCTTCAATAGTCCTGCATTCCTTTTGGACTGCCTTCCCTTTTCTCTCTGAACTCATCTCCAAGCAAAAGTGAAAACCAGTACCAACTCTGCAAAAATTCTCCTTTTATCATTTCTTTAGTTCTTACTGCCTCAGGAGATGCACCTCCCAGAAATACTGCTGAATAATAAAACTGCCATCTCCTGTATTTCTGTATCTCTCCTCTCTGCACTTTGAGGGAGTATAGGATTTTTAAAGCTGTATTTTATATAGCACCCTGTGAACTTATTAAGCAGAATCTAGGAAACAATAAAATTTCTGGTGGGCCTCAGATTCCGGGTAACCTCTTCTGGGGAGAGATGGCACCCCAGCAGCACACGGTACTGTGAGCAGCCCCACTCTCTGTGCCTGGACAGAGTTCTTTAATACATCACATTCTTGCTGCACAGTGACAATCTCTTCACAAAAGCATATGATGATAAATTCTCCCCTCAGATACAAAAATCACTCAGACTGTTTATCTTGTTCCCAGTTCAGCCATGTCAACAAGAACTCTGCATGGACTGCAGCCTCTGCATTGCTCATAGGAGAAAACAACTCTACTGAACAACTTGAACAACTTGAAAGAGATTGGGGCTGGTTTTTTTTTTTTTTGTCTGCTTGGTCAGGTTTTTTGTTTTGGGTTTTAGTGTTTTGGGTTTTTTTATTTAGGTTTGGTTTTTTTGTTTTTGGTTTGTTGCTTTGTTTTTTAATAATGCTTATAGGAAAAAACTCTATTGTCTCATGAAAAAGAAAATAGCCTAGAAAATAAGAGAACAAGACAGTAGAATATGACTCACTTTTTTTTTTTAAGCTTTAGCTTTTAAGCTAATGATTTTTTGAGCAGGAGACTGAAAAGGGCTTTTCTTCACTGAAGAGTCTCTAACAATTCCTAGTTACTTGAACACAAGATGATAAAATTTCCCTGATTTTTGGAGATAGGTCAGACACCATGCAGTGAAAGAACTAATGGTGAAGTGCCTACATATAGAGAAGTTTATCAGATTCAAAATATTCATATACTTCAGAAAAGATTGGTTGAACTCCATGGTCAAAAAGGTCTTTTCCAACCTAAATGATTCTATGATTTTGTAAGGCTGAGAAAGTTAAACTTAAGTTAGTTTTTTTTTCCTTCTATCCAGCACACATTATTCAAGAAAGTGGTAGTAGAGGAGTTTTTATATTAGAACCAAAAACAAAAGAGGGAAATGTAAAACATAAATAGCTTGAATGGATCAGGCAGCTACAGCTTCTTCTGCAAGCTTACAGAAAAACTCACATAAAGTACAAAACACGAGGCAATTTCTCCATGTATAAGGCAAAAACATTAAATTCACTACAGGCATGCATTCTTGTTCTCCTTCAGTGGCTTTACACAGAAGGTTTTTTTTGTTGTTTGTTTGTTTTGTCTGTTTGTTGTTGCTGTTATTTTTAAGAGATCTCTCATCTATCTATAGGTGAGTAAACACATAAGTGAAGCAGGCAGAAATGCAGTGAGAAGCCACCGCAGCACCAGATGAAGGGCAGGGGTAGGCTGGAAGCCTACCCATCTGAGGGAGAGGAAATGCCTCAAGGTTTCAACTCGGAGGATACAGCTCTGCTCTCCTCTTGCTGTGTCTCCTGGTCCCTGGAAGCAAGCGCTCCTGCAAAGTCGGGGGTGGCAGGTTTGCAGGCGATGGCAGTGCCTCTGAGCAGCACCGTCACAAATGTCTCAGCTGCCTCAGTAATTCCACACTGGCTGCTCCAAACTTTAACTGCAAAATACACTCTCACACATATTTCCATGGATTTCAGATTTCGACATCTTACTTACTCTTTACTGAAAAAAGTGCAGTTACTGAGTGTTGTCACTTAAGTGGAACTGCCAGTGTGTGGCTATTTGGGTTCCCCTCCATGGAGAAGGACAGGTCTGAAGTGTCTCAGCACACCATAATATGGACAATCTGTTGTGACCTTCTGCTCTAGACTCAAACCCATGCATACACAAACAGCCACTTAAGAGTTCAGTAGCTCTCAACTGCTTTCAGAGACTTAAGAGACCTCACACACAAAGACACCTGAAGCTTTGTGCCTGCTGAGGCTGCACAAGAGGAAACAATGGGTCTTCCACTAAATGTGCTTACTCCCAGTAACATGTTAAAGCTCTTTTTGAAACCAGTACTGCCAGGAAAAATATTTTACTAATTGCTCATCGAGCCCAATGTTGCGGCAACAGTGGATTTTAGGTCAAATTTTGTGCCTGAAGAGATGTAGCAGACACAAAACTTTGCTATGATTGTGTTATCAAATACATCCAAATACACCATCCCTTAAGAACCAAACAGCTAATACTGTGTCAGACACAAAATTATACCCATTTAATTTAATTTTAATATTAATAATTAGAACTCACCAGATCTAATAATTTGTTTTGACCCTAACAATGTTAAAATGGAAAAATATCCCACGTGTATGTAGGAAAAATATCCCACGTGTATGTAAGGTGTAACAAAGTTGCTCTGGTACACAAAGAAATGAAATGCAAGTTAAAATTCTAGAGAAATTGTAAGTGTAAGGAAATCAGTGTAGTGGAGATGAAGTAAAAGTTTACCATAAGAAAGACCTCGGGTCACGTGGTGTTAAGGAAAAAAGTCTGAAACATCACATGCACACGTTTATAGGATATCTCAGATTTTTGTTTAATAGCATTAAGTATTTATTTGTAAAAAGATAGCTCTAATATAAAAATGAATTAGCCAGAATCCCTTTAAATGAAATGTGGAATTATAAAAGAAACATTGAGTTGCAACATTTTTTAGTTAACCTTTTAGCTTGACATAAACTAAGCCATTCAAATTGCTTACCATTTGCCTTGTTCATTTATAAACTGTTGAACTGCATATCCAAACTGCTCTCTTGGTGGACCAGAAAATATTTTTGCTTTCAGGAGCCCAACATTGTAGGCTTCACAGCAGTTGTGAAGAATGCCTGTTAACAGAAAGATCATGATTATCAAGAAGCAATTAAAGAAGAATTTTGATCCCAGTGAAAAAGGCTCTTCATCTGTGACAGCTCCCCCAAGAGAAGAAAATAAATACAGCCTTTGACACATGTTTGAAAAAACAGCGTTTTTGCTACAGTACCCTGGCCATGCAAAATGCCTCTCTCACTCCTTACGTGTGTTGCATTACTGTGGGCAGAGATAAATGACTCATTCACTGTTAGCCTTAACAAAAGTTGCAGCGTTACTCATGGGAATGTCTTAGCAGAATAGAGGCAAAATGTATGATTCAGAGGTCTGTTACCCTCCTTTACCTTCAGGGGTTAAGTTAAGCTTGTGGCACAGCAAATACATCAAGAGCCTGATGAGGTACACTATAATCACAGAATCTTTTAGGTTGAAAGAACCTTATTCAAGAACTGCCAAATTCACTAATAAACCATGTCTTTGAGTGCTACATCTACACATCTTTTAAAAAGTTTCAGGGATGGTGATTCCACCACTTCCCTGGGCAGAGTGTTTCAATACTTGACAACTTTTTCCAGAAGAAATTTTGCCTAATGTTTGGTTTAAACCTTCCCTGGTGCAACTTGAGCTCATTTCTGCTTGTGCTATTGCTTGTTACTTGGGAGAAGACACTTATCCCCACCTAGCCACACTCTCCTTTCAGGCAGTTGTGGAGAGTGATAAGGTCACCCCTGAGCCTCCTTTTCTCCAGAATAAACACCCCCAGCTCCCTCAGCTGCTCCTCACAGCACTTGTGCTCCAGAGCCTGCCCCAGCTCCCCTGCCCTTCTCTGGACTCACTCCAGCCCCTCAGTGTCTTTCCTGCAGTCAGGGCCCAGAACTGGACACAGCACTCCAGGTGTGGCCTCACCAGTGCCCAGGACAGGGGGACAATCCCTGCCCTGCTCCTGCTGGCCACACTATTGCTGAGCCAGGCCAGGATGCCATTGGCCTTCTTGGCCACCTGGGCACAGCCTGGCTCATGTTCAGCTGCTGCCACCAGCACCCCCAGCTCCTTTCCAGCCACTCTGCCCCAGCCTGTGGCACTGCCTGGGGTTGGTGTGACCCAAGGGCAGGAGCCAGCACTGGGCCTTGTTGAACCTCACACCATTGGCCTCAGCCCATTGATCCAGCCTGATCCCTCTGCAGAGGATCTGCAGCAGATCAACACTCCCACCACCCCACTTGGTGTCACCTGGAATCTGACTGAGCATACACTCAATCCCCTCATCAATGTAATGGAGATGTCAAGGCAAAACTAAGCCCTGAAGAACATCGCTTGTGACCATTCACCTCAACTTTCTGTGCCCAGACAAAATGCCCTGACTGTACCTGCTAATACTGTTTATATTTTAGTTTCGAATGAAAATGAGATTATCTGCAGCATCAGAAAACCTAAATTTTTGAGTCATTTCATTATCATGCCAGAAGCCTTTGTTTTCAGTCCAAACAATCTGAACAGTTGTCCAAACAGGAAAACTTAGAAATACAAACATGGAAGGTAGAACAGCATTAATAAATCATGACATTTAACACTGCAACTCCACTTAGCTGTGGTTTTGCTCTTAATTGTTTTTCCTTGGGCACTTATGTGCCTGGGAATAATGGTGTGCCATTCCACAGCATTTTGTAAGGAACCAGCATTGTGGACTGGGGACAAAGTTGATTTTGTAGGACATGTCCACTCCTCATCCACAAAGAGAATGATTTTTTTTCTGATCAAGAACTGTAGGTGGATACCTAGGAGAATATCCACTGGGAAGGCTGTAGGAAAAAGGCCAGACTCCCCCGAGGGACTCTGCTGTGGGTAGGTAACTCCTTCCCCAGAATGGAGGTGGAAGGACTGAGACAACAGCAGGATTCCAGGAACAAGCTACAGCCCAGCTGAGGAACACCTCAGAGCTCCTGAAAACCCTCCAAAAATGGGAATGATGGAAGAAATCATGACTTGTGGTTTCACTGTGCAGTGACTCCCTGAGGCTCACAGATGAGGCAGGTTCACAGAGTTACTCATGGGTTAAACAACATCCCTCATGTTTCCCCTCCCTTCCTGTGTGCCCAGACAGAATAAGTTTTATCTGCTTTACACACAAATATGCCTCACCACAGTTATTTAGTATGAGTCATTGTGTCGTAAAGAAGCAGTCTTTTCAATAATCCCTTATAACAAGGACGCTTAAAGAGCATTAAGACCATTTCTTTAATTTTGATGGGCAGAGAGCTTACTGCTGGTATCACTTTCTCCCAGGTCCCAGGAGCAGTTTTGGAAGAGAGGTTAAGAGGATTTATTAATCACCATGAAACAGCCCATCACAGTAGCTGATCGGTAATAGTAATAATGATAATAAAATCATAGTGAAAATATTAGCATCACAACCACAGGCTTGCAGGCAAAGTTCACGACCTGTAAAAAGTGTCAATGTATTTTGTATTTTTGCTCACAGAATTCAAAACAGAAACATCACTAGAAGAAGACTAAATACAACTCTAAAAGAGCTACTACATTTTTACCACAAATTCAAAACAGGAAATAATATATTAATTATCTCAAACAACCACTATCTACAGTCAGCCTCTGGAAAGCAAGTCACCCACTCCTAGAAGTATAGTTCCTTGAGAAACATCCTTAGAGATAAATATATTTCCTGAGTCAAGTTATTTAAGACTGGAGAAGAGAATGTGTACAGACTCATTACTCTGTGTTTTGCAAGCCTTTTGACACTAAACACAACCCCATATAATCACAGTTTATGTCTGGGTTTTAAGGACAGTGAAAAGGTGTATTGAGATAGTAATCAACAATTGCCAGTAATTCCTTTGTCATCTAATATACTTTTATAAAAATATTTTTTCCACACCATATCCTGAGGGGTTTTTTATGCCTGTTGTTAAATTATATTAACCTCAGTAAGAAGTCAAGCAAGATTCAGCAGTGCCCTATTCTCAAGAGGCCACAGGAGACTATACAGAGCCATCCTGCATGTAAATACTGAAGAACCCTCACACTATGAAACTGCACATGAAAATAAACCCTGGCTTTCAAATGAAGCCAGCTAGAAGCAATCTAGAATGATGAATCTAGAATGATGAACAGTCTGACACAAAATCCAGTGACACTTAGAGAAAAACTCTTGACTGTCTGGACAGTTACACACTTCCCAGTAAATCACACTGCAAGCCAAATGGTAACACCACTGAGTGCACTGGACAACTTTGGTGCAAATATATGGCACATGTTTCTAATTTATGTCCAAGGTGAGAGTTTTGTAAAATGCTACAGGCAGGGCAAAAATTTCCTCCAGAACTGGGTAAAAGTACAGGGAGCAGGTATGACAGCCAACAGCCTGAAGGAAAGTCCCCATGGTTCAGATTCTCCTGGGGGACTGTGACAAGTCACACACGGTCAGCAGAATGTGTGCTGGGTTATATGTTGCCTGTTCATCTTCTTCCTTAACCTCCCACTTGTGTGCAGTATCCATCCCTGGACCTCCCAGGTGGACTCTGTGGTCCTATTTTCTCCAAGATGGGGGCTTTTTCCAAGGAGCAAGGACATTGCCTGTCCCTGCACTGGGAAACTTCTACTCCTCGTAGTTCCCCTGGGCTTCACCACAGCTTACAAAAGCAATGTCCTTTTTCTCTTCCCAGTGATCCACACCTTCTTCTCACTGAACCATTTCACCCATCCTTCCCATTTACTACTGGGTCTTGATTTTATCCTTTTTAGTCATTTGCACGACGGCAGCATGAGAGTATTGCTCTTTGAGAGCACAAGTGTACAGCTGGAATAACGAAGAGGTGTCTGCCAGATCAAAGCTGCCTCTATCATGTTCGCTTTCTAGACAGACAGCCAGTCAAGGACAGTGGAAAAAGAACAAGAAAAAAGCAATCGTAAAACCCAGCCTCTGAAGACACACTGCTGTCTGCAGTGCCTCACACTCACAACTGTTTTGCAAAAATCAAAGTAGAAATGCTGGCAAACACAATCTGACTCAGCACAACCATTATCAAAAGAACCTAGTTTCAGCGTATTTCAGTCACATTTTAAAATCCACGTTTTTGTAATTGTCAGTAGATTTTTTAGATCTACTACACACAAATCTTAGTTGCCTGGAGGCTAGCAAGCATACACTGGCACTAACATAGTAGGCATTTTTCCTGCCATTTTCCTCCCTCTTATATGGTGCTTACATTATAAGAAGATCTTTTATCTAATTTGTACATCTATCTTAATACAGTATCCATAAAAAGAAACAAGCATTTGCAGCCAAAAAAATAGAAAATTCTAAATTTCCTTTAAACCTATTTTAAGCCTGTGCAAAATAAGAGGGTCTGTCATGCATTAAAAGGGTGCCAGTCATTGTAGTATCTAGGTTCAAAGTACTGTATATTCTAGGCTGGAACGATTCAGTATCTGTTGCTGCCTTCAGGCAATGAACTTTGATAATTTAAGAACATTGAAATAAAGAAAACTAATTCACTATCGGGATTTTAATAGCTTTTGGTGACAGACTTCTACTTTGTGACCTACTGATGATGATGAGAGAGTAGCTGGGCAAGTAAAAATCCACTTCCTAACTTCTGTCTGTAAATGGCACTTTATTTACAGTCAAGTAAACAGACTGTGTGGAACAAAGGAAGCCAGATACAAGCCTGAAGTTTCTGAAAAGTCCCTCTGAAGACCTTAAAAGGGCAGTTCCTCCCCACTGGGAAAGGTGCTTGGGCAGTTCAGTTTAAAGAGAACACCTTCACTGAGCAGTCCCAATACCAAGCTTCAGACAGGAAAAATGCAAGAAAAAGAATCCTAATGGGATAAAAGAAACTATAAGCTTTCTAATAAGCTCCAGTATCTATTTGCATGGTACTTTTTTTTTCCTGGGAATTCCCATATTTCAGTAACTGCATTATTGCAGTGCAAGCCATGGGAGCTACATGTTGTATAGTTGTATAGCTGGTTTCATACTTTGACACCAGGATTTTTTTTTTTTTTCCTCCCAGCAAGAGGAAAAATAATACATGTTATGACTGGGCACCTCTAAGCCTCAACGTGTGGGAATTCTTCTGTAACTATAAATGACATGTCTAATGATAGCTCTAATGCCTTCTGTTTGCTTCATTCTGTTTGCACTACAAGCCGAAGCAAGTTTTAATGCAGTAAAAGCTCATATTAGGTACACCCAATTCATAATTGTTTTGATTTTGTAAGCAAAGCTCACAGCTTAAAGTGATCAAGCAAAAAATATCAGTTTGATAATCTATCGTTTGATGTTAAGATTATAAGTTGTTTGATTGAAACCCCTTATTCAGATTAGTAAGCATAAAAAAGGATAAAAAAATGAAATAAGAATTTTATGTATGTGATTATTTTGTTTGGTGAAATAAGTTTATAAAATTCTAATAGAATGTACTGAATGTATTATTAGTCTGTATTCTGTATAAGTATCATAATAAATGTGTTATTTTTTCATTCTAAATAGTAAAGATTGAATTTTCAGTCACATTTCACTACACTGCAAAGGTGATGTGCCAATTTAAGAGGGCAGTAAATTACAAAATACCGTA